CAAATAAAAATAAATAAATAAATAAAGTTTCAGAAAGTAGCTCAGTGTGAAGGCCCTGGGTTCAGTCCCCAGTACTGAGAAAAAGAGGGAGTGGAATGGGCATACATACACATTTAAAATTTTGGTTGTCCTCCAGAATGTTTATAACAATTGATATTCTCGGCAAAATGTGTGACCAAAATGATTACCATTTTGTTCTGAGTGGCATTCTTTTTGTTCTTCCTGAGGTTGAATATATATGCATACGTGTTTCCAATCATTTGCATTTTTTCCATTAATCATCCGTTTATTTATACACTGCACTGTCAGAGTTTCAGTGGGGGTGCTTAAGCTTTTATTATGGATTTACTAGAATTCTTCACTATTTTGGACATTAATTGTTGGTATAACTCAAACCTTTTCTCCTATTGATTTTGACTTTTCTACTTAGTTCTTTTTTTTCCAGAAAAACTAAAAAAACAAAACAAAATTGGATAGCCATGTTGTCATTTTTTTTTTTTTATGCCTCTGGAGTTGTGGTACCCATTTGAGTCATCTTCCCACCCTAAGATGAATAACATTCACACACATTCTGCCTAATACATTGCTTTCAATTCGCTTTTATGTTTAGATCTTTGGTCCATCTGGAGTTTGTTTTGGAATAAGGTATAACACAGACTTCTGTTTCAAGTGTACACAAACTTTCTCCAAAACCATTTATTGGATAGTCTTGCATTCTCTCACCATCTGGAAATATTATTTTTGTCACATGCTACATTTCCATGTACACATATCTATTTCCAAATTTCTAAATTTTTCCACTTATTATTTCTGTGGCTTCATTGGCATTGCACAGCTTTAATTATTATAGTTTGAGGGTGTATTTTTATGCCATTGCTATTGCTACTCAATTGTTTTCCAAATGTTGCTGGCTACTGTGGTACATTTTCTGTTCTAGAGTCCAAGTTTTAAAACACATTTCCCAAAATAGCCATTGAAATTTTCATTTGCATAACACTGAACTTATGTAATACTGAGGGAGAATTGGCATATTCATAATATCCTCATATCCGTGAATGTCCCATGTCCTAAAGTCTTTTATATTTCAACAAAGTTTCATAGTTTTTGTTTCCATGTTATTCTGGCATATTTAAGTCCATTTCCAACAATTTTGTCATTTTAGTTGGTATTTTAAAGGGCATTCTCTCTTATTGCATTGCTTAATTAATGGTTGATGGTATGTGGGAAAGCTATCAATCCTATTTACATATGCCCACCCTACTGATGTTCTTATGTGTTTTAATTTTTTCCAGCCAGTTGTTTTGGGTTGGCAACTTTGTTTGTAAAGGGCCAGATAGGGAGCATCTTTAGCTCTCCAGACCTCAGGATCTCTGTTGCCCTTGCTCACCTCCGCCTGCAGTGAAAAAGCAGCCAGGCTGAGATATACAGATGTAAGGCTCTATGCCGATCAAACTTTATGTGCAAAACTTCATGCTGCTGGCTGCGTCTGGCCTTGGGCACGGGGTGTGGACTGTTCTGACTATATTCCAAAGGTGAGAATGTATCACATTTAAACAATGTGTCTCTCCTTGTGATGTGCTTAGATCGAAGGTGTCCCGTGAAGGTTCCTATGCTAAAGACTTGTTCCCCAGGGTGGCACTGTTGGGAGCTGGTACATCCTTGGGGGGCCCAGTGCAGGTCCTGGGGCCTGGGCCTGTTTCCCTTGAAGAGGGTGGTGGGACCCTGGCCTCCTCTCTGCCTCCTGGCTGAAGTGAATGAACTTCAGCTACTTGAACTTTAGCTATGGCAAGGTGCTTCACCCCAGAGCAAGGAGCCAGGTCATCACAGACTGAAGGTTTTCCCTGTGGAGGCAGATTTATGTCGGGTATTTGTTAGAGGGCAGAGAGAGCACACATGCTCATCTTGACAGGACTTCAGAAATGCACTGAACAACAGGAATGGTGACAGTAACCTTTCTCTTGCTTCTGTCTTGCAGCTTCACTCTTAAATCTGCTATTTCTTACTGACCTTTTGGCAGACATTTTTATCTAATTAAAGGTGCCGTCATCTGTTTCAGGTTACGAAGAGATTTTAACAGCAGCATGACTGTGTTTGATCAAACAGTTAGTGTGAACATGTCCCTTGTCATGTTCTGTGCTCTGAAAGTGTGAGAAGCCCTGTCCTAACTTAAGATACCCTCGCTGGCCCTCACTCCACCTCTCCTGAACAGTGAAATGCTACAGCAGAGCAGGACTGAAGCGGGGGTTCTGGAGGAGTACGGAAGACTAGAGACACACACTCCTTGCCCCCTCAGGAGGAGGGAGGGGGCGACTCTGCCTCCTCCACCCTCCCTTCTGCCAGAGTAACAGCACTGGAGGTTCTAAGGTGTTTCGTTTTTTCAGTACTGGAGACTGAAGCCAGGGCCTTTGCACTGAGCTACATCCCCAGCCACATATATTTATATATATCTATATATATATATATATATATATATATTTATTTATTTATTTTGGTATGGGGATCAAACTCGGGACCTTGTGCTTTCAAGGCAGGTCTAAATTGCCAGCCATTATTTTTAAATTTTAAAGCAGGATTTTATGTGTCACTAAATTGCCCAGGCTGAGATCAAATCTGTAAAACTCCTGCCTCAGCCTCCCAGTGCCAGGATTACAGTCATGCACGGACATGCCAGGTTACATTGCTGGGGTTTAAAATGGCATCACTGATTTAAGGAAAAGAGGGGCGTGCACTTGGTGTGCCCCAGTTTCTGCTGCATGGTTGGACCCCGTTTGCTGAGGCCATGCCCATTTTGCTCCCGGGCAACAGGCACCTCGGTGGACGGGTCCTTTCTGCTACTACACCCTTCCTGGGACGGGGGAAGAACACAGAGCTGTCACTCAGGGCTGCCTCTCTTGCCTGCTGGAAGGCAGGGACAGAGGATGGCACCGTGGCGTCATCCGCAGCTGTGCAGTTGGCCCAGGGCTCAGAGGGCTGTTTGGGCTTGGGTCAAATGCACATTTAGGTCTTCAGTGCCCAGGAGTGAGGCTCTGAGGATCCAGGCAGCAGGACCTCGGGGCCCTGGGTCTCCCAGGCTCCCAGGGGTGGGCAGGAGCAGAGGGGGTCCCCAGGATCCTCTTACCAGTTTGTCAGCACGGTGGTCTGCTGTTTGTGTGTCCAGGACAGAACTTCGGGCTTTGCAGTGCTCTGGGGAGGAATGGGAGGGCCCAGGCGGAGGAGGGGCTGGGCTTTTCTCCAGGAAGCTGGCCGGGCCCTGAGCCAAGGCGAAGCAGGAAGCAATTCTGTTCTCTTTCTTAGATGCCCCTTCTTGGGAAATCTTTTCTCTCCCTGGATACTTAGAATTACTTTTTGTGGTTGTTGTGGTCCTGGGGATTAAACTCAAGGTCTTCACATTGAGCTTCACCCTCAGTCCTTTTTTAGAACTTTAATTTTGAGTTGAGGTCTCCCTACGTTGCCCAAGCTGGGCTCAAACTGGTGATCTTCCTGCCTCAGCCTCCCAGAGTGCAGTCACAATTACCCTCACCCAGGAAGGGCTGTGGCAGAGGCCCCAGAGGACAGGGACAGGAGCCCCGCACCCACTACATGGGGGCCCACAGAAGGCACGGTGGAAAGCGCCTGATGTCCGCAGGCGCCCAGGTATTCCGCAGGCTCCCCACAGGGGACTCAGGTGTTCTCCGCTGCACTGGGCACAGGTGACAGATGGTCCTGCACCCACTGCAGGCCGTACCTGGGACTCAGGGCCACTTCTTGTGCTCAGCCCTGCTGCAGGAAGGGACACGTTCAGCACCCTGGGGACCAGAGGTGCAGGGAAAGCTCGTTCTTGGGTCAGAACCCACCAGAAATGAAAGACACCAGAGGCCCTGGGGCCACCCAGGCAGGACTCCGGGTGTGGTCTGCTGGCATCCACATCGCAGCCTCTGCCTTTCTGCACATCTGCCACTGTGTGGAGCCTGTGGAGGGCTGTCGAGGACAACGGCGTTTGAGCTGACAGCCCCTGGAGGCCTTGGAGGTCCTGGCGAGTGACTGGGCATGGAGGGGACCTCTGAGCTGCCAGGTGTCCGTCCATCAGAAGGGACCCTGCTCCTTGTTCAACAGCGACAGTGGGGCTGTACGGGTGTGGGAGGGACCGAAAGGGATGCAGGAGCTTCCCAGGCTATCTGCTCAGTTTGGCTGTGACGTGGAAGCTGCTCTAAGTGAAGCTTATGAATTAGCATTACAAAGTTATCAGCCCAGACTCGGAAGGAGAAGGGTGGCCTTTTAACTCTCTTTTGGGGTTCCTGTTTACCGTTTTGTTTGAAGCCACCTGAGGCCCCGAAGGAGGTGGGGCAGGGTCCTGGGCTCTGAACACAGGTTTCTCTTTTTCCTCCCCAATTATGAATCTCCTTCTGCTGTGTTTCGGTTGTCTTTTTAAAAAATTAAAAAAAAATTGTTTTTAACTTTTACTTTTTACCTCTTGTGTATATGTAGGGAATTTGTAGGGAAATGTGTACTTTATGGAATAAATTTTAAGAACTAAAATATATTTTATTTTAAAGTAATAGACCTTTAATCTTCCACAGCTAAATTACTGATTATATATTTGCTGAGCTGATTTAAATTTAAAAAATTGTATCAAGAGTTTTATTTTTTGACTTCAAAGCCTTCTTAATAAAGACTTTTACTACCAAAAAAATAAAAAGTTATCAGTTGGGGATGAGGGTGCGGTTCAGTGGTAGAGGACTTGCCTAGCATGTTTGATGCTCTGGGTTTGATCCTCAGCACTGCAAAAATAAGTAAGACCGAGGCATGGTAGCTCATGCCTGTAATCCCAATACCCTTCGAGGCTGAAGCAGGAGGATATTAACTTTAAGTCCAGCCGAGGCAACTTAGTGGTTTAGCAAGGAGCTAAGGCTGCAGCTCAGTGTGGAGACCATAGATACATTCTCCAGTTCCACAATCAATCATCAATCAATCATCAGAAAAATAATATTGAGAAAGAACATCTACAGTCAGTCAGACACGAATAAGAGCTAAAATAACATTGTATTGTCAACAAAGAATATAATATTATTGTAAGGTACTTAGAAGTAAAGAACAATGAATAATATACATCTAATTTTTTAAGACTCAATATACAGTCAACATGTCCTGATCAGCAGTATAAACCATATAAAAGAGAATCTTGCTTTCCATTTGTACAAATACTGCATTCATCACTGAAAAACTTTACATGGTTAAAATGTACCACATCAAGAAGCTACAGGGCCAGGGATTTAGCTCAGTGGTTCTGCCTCCTGCCTTGCAAGCGCAAGGTCCCAAGTTTGATCCCCGGTACCAAAAGAAACCAAAAAAAAAAAAAAAAGAAGAAGCTATGAGGCTGTTTCTTGAATGTTACTGACATACAGTTACTGTTGCCTGGCGTTAACCAGATCACCCTAATACCAGCCCTCAGACCCATGGGAACTCTTCATCTGCAAGGGATTATGCTGTACAGCAAGGTTACTTTGTGGCCAAACCAGGCTTTTAGAAAATAAGCAAGTTCCTCTAAAAAAGCATGCCCTTAAATTTTCTCATATTTTTCCTGCAAAGGAGGACTGGGGTTCCTAGTGACTCAGGCGGGACAGGCTTAGACTTCAGAGGGCTCGCTGAGATTTTTCAGGTGTGTATGGAAGAAAAAACCCAACTACTGGCTTCTGTTTCTATCCTAGGTATAGTTTATAATCAAAGTATACAAAATGTTTCTCAACACAAGAAGATTCTTGTTTGGACAAAAGCCACACAACTATGTATCAATCCTTGAAGTCTCCCCTGTGAATGACAGAGGGAGGATTTCCTTCACCCTGGGGGATAAAGGTTGCTTGGTTGCTAGAGGGAGAGCAGTAGGCTATTGTAAGCACAGCAAGAATTCTTCTGGCTTTGTCTCACAACCAGTCCACCTTTAATGACCGAGCCTAGGAAAGGCCAAGTGTCTGCCTGGGCTTCCTCTGCTCTTCCCTTCAGTGCTTGGGCAGCCATCTTGGGAACTCTGCCTCAGTTCCCCACCCTTGGGGAGGATGCTGACTTCGTTGTGGTTTAGAGTTCTGGGGGTCTGAGAGTCACCGCTCTGCAGGGACACACAGCTGGCCCCTGAGCTGGGGCCCTCAGTGTTGGCTTGGGTTGCAGTAGCCTTGGGAGCTTTACTAAGGGCAAAGGCCTGGGTTTATCCCTTAGGGGTTTACGTTTCACTGGTCTCAGGCACAGCTCCCCTGGCAGCTGAGGCGCAGCCAGGGCAGTCCGACTTGGGCTGGGTGAGCTGTTAGTGGACTTCGTGGGTGTGCTGCGTAGCGCACATGCATAGCATTATTATGGCTGTCCAGGTACTTCTTGTCTGTATTGGTCAGTGAATGTAAGTTGTAAATATAAAAATAAAATAAAATAATTTGCATTAAATCTGATTAGTACATGGAAACCAACAAAGTCTATATTATTGCTTTTCTTGTCTTTACAAGGTGGTGTTCTCAGGAGATCAGAGGACAGCATGCCTTTGGATTCTGCTCCTCACAGCAACCCCTTTACCATAACATTGTCTTAGACAGACTCAGCAGAGCCTGCCGGACTGATGCTAAGCCAATGTGCTGTTTCCTCTTTTCTACTTTTACAAACTTTCTTCTATTCACATGGCAGTGACCTAGCGTAGCTCTGCAATGAGGTTGTCCCTTTTCCTAAGAGAGAAGACACTTTTCTTGCTTCAACTGAACCTTTGTAAGCAAAGATTTCAATGTCAAATTTTACTTCTATTGCAGTCTTTCTAAAATAAACTGTTTCCCTTAGTAGAAAAATGAGTTTTCTAAAAATATACTTTATAAAGTTCAGTGCTACATAAAGAAGACAATAACCTGCAAAAAAGTTACAAAAATAGATTTGCATTTAAAAATTCTATCTGAATATGTCTTTAACAGTACAAAGATGTTTGTCTAAGGACTATGGCAGGTGTGGCTGGGAAAAGGGCAGGAATTTCTTCAGTTGGGTTTATAGTACCCAGGCAGGGAAATACAAACAGATCACTGTTCTAATAAACATTATGCTTATCAGGAGAAAGAGACACAAGGAGAGATTAGGGCCAATCTCAAGAGCTGCCTTGTAAGAGGGTGCAGGTCCTTCACCGAGGAGCAGAGAGCAGCTTTTACAACTCTCTTCTCAGGAAATGCGGTGTTCCACAGCTTTGCTCAGACCTGGACTTTTACCATTTTCAGGGTAAACAGCCAGTGGTAGGAAGTGCAGGCTCTTGGAAGGACATTGAGGGGCCAATCTCAGTCTTGGGGCCTGCATAGCAGCTGGGAATCTCTGCCCTCCCCAGTGGGCTTATCCTGATTTGGGGTGTGGTATAGACTCCAAGGCTTGGGTGGCGGAAGGGGTCTTAGAGATGAGGGGTTCACATGGCTTCCTGTCAGAATCAGCTCAGTGGGTTATTGGGCCTGTTCTGGGGGAGCCCCTGAGCTGCTGACTGAGTTGCTTGTGGGGACTGCTGAGCCGTCTTTTAGGCTCCCAGGTTCTTCAAGGGGTGCTGGACTCACGCTATGCAGAGGCTGATGTAGAGGACGTGGGTGGAGGCCCAGCAGCCAGGCCTCTCCTTCGCACTGTGGTCCTTGACAAGGTGGAGATGTCAGAGTGGCCAGGAGTGTTCTGTAGAGCGCCAGCCCGGGCTGCATCTGGGAAAACCCACAGGATCCTCTTGCCAGGTGTGAGATGCTTCCCTGCAGCCTGACCCAGAACCCAGGCCTTCCGTGCCTGTGCCATCCTCGGTTCCTTCCTGCTGAGTGGGGTGGGCGAGGCAAACCCAGATGGGAAGGAGCTTCAGAAGCACAGGTGTTGGCCCCACCCTGATTGCAGCAGACGCCTCCTGGGCACTCACTGAAGGACAGAGGCAGCCTGTACTCAGCAGATTCTGAGTGTGAAAGATGCAGCTCTCTTAGACCTTGAGGTGCTGAGTACTTCTCCTGGGTATAGTAGTAGGGACTCCTTGCAGAATATGCGGATTCACACAGTAAACGTTCACTCCGGACTCTGCACCCAGAGACCAGACCTGAGGCCAGGGCGCGGAGACACTTCTCCCAGGAACTGACTCAGGAACAGGTGACAGACAGACACTCAAAGGCACTGGGGCTGGCCGTTCACAAGCAAGGATGGAAGGGCAGAGCCAGGGCTGTGACATGGAAACACGGTGACTGCAGTGCCTGGAGGAGCCTCAGCTCCCAGCCCCACAGCAGTGCTTCCAGGGATGAGGCAGAGGGGATTTGGGGAAATACAATCTCAAAATTAATAGCAACGAAGTTTTATGCCAGAAAACCAAAATATAAAGGACAGCAAAAGCACGCTTGAATAGTCTTGGCTATTTTATTGTGTTATAGGAAAGTATTATAAAGTACAAAAATACTAAGATTTCTTGGCTACCCCTGGGCTGGCTTGCAACTGACTGTCCTCCCTCATCCGCTTCTGACAACTCGGTGACAGGAGAAGCCGAGTCATTCTACTTCCTAGTTTTGTGCAGTTGGCTAAGTTTTCTTTACATTCTGGAGTGAACAGATAATGAAAGGGCCTTAGGGCAAAGGCTCTGAATCTCAGATGTGAGGAACGCTGTCCAGTCTTCTCACCATCTACTTCTCAGGGTTCCCACAGGAAGGCCACCCTGAGAGTCAGGGTGCTCTGCTTCCCTAGTGGAGCCCTCGGTGGCTGCTTTCTTGGCCAGGAAGGAGCATTCTTGCCACCTCCCTCCAGGCCGAGACTCTGGTCATCCTGGAGGATGTCCCGCTGCACCTTCTCCCCGGTCGCCCCAGGCAGAATCTATCTGCCTGTGCTGTCTCTTCTCTGGCATCTGTCATAGTGTTTTAAGTTAGTATTTATTAGTCCATTTCCTTTGTTACATTGTGAGTTTCTCGAAATCCGGGATTTCTTCCTTGGTGAAGTGGAAAGGGTGGATGTTGACTAAGAGTGGGTGAAATATTGGTGACAATCAGGTTGCAAGGACGAGAGATCCTAACTCACTGGAGCCATAACTTACAGGGAAATTACTGTAGAATTTCCCTGGTAAAACACCTGCAGATGTGAAAACACTGTCATCCACTCCAAATCTAGCTTCCTAACAGCCGCTGATCTCTCTCCTTGGCTGCCTGTCCTGGGAGGCGCAGGTCCTGTGGCAGGTAGCTCTTGCCTGGTGGCCTCGCAGATGACACCTTGTCACCAAGCGCACAGAGACCTGGGCCAGTAGCCATGGAGGAGCATGCACCTTCCCAGCCAAGTATTTTTAGGGAAAATGCGAAGATTGTCTCTCATGAGACAGCTGGAGAGAGGTGTAGGCAGAGTGAGTGTTCAGAGCACCATTTTTGTAATCTCATGAAATGTGCCCCAAATTTTCATCTGAGACTCACATTTGGGTGCTAAACTGAGTGCTGCGATGCACATTTGGAGCCCAGAACTCTGGGAAGCAGGAGAATTGCAAGTTCCAGCCCTGCCCAGGCAACTGAATGAGATCCTGCCTCAAATTAAAACATCAAAAGGTGCTGGGGATGTGGAATGGTGCAGAGTGCTAGGTTCAATTCCCAGTACTGTCAGAAATAAGAAATCTGACTGCTGCTTTCTTGAGCAAACTCTTGCAGTTTCCTTGTCTTAATGGTAGGTCTGAACATTGGTGGATCAAATGTGGACTCTTAGCTATTCTTGGACGTACTGTCTTGCTTTTGCCAGCTTCATGATGTCAAGACAGGGAAAGCATATGAAGTTTCAAAATGATGGAATGGAAAGTAGACAAGGGTAATACTCACGATCAGAAAACACTGGTGAACTAAGAGGGGTCAGAGCAGGGAGACACATACAAAAGTGAGTCTGAGGGAGAACCCTCCCCTCAGGTCCTCTTCTCCCATGAAGGAACTAAGTGGCTTATCCTATGTACCTGCCATGATACGAGTCTGCACCGAGCAGGCCTGCCAAGGGTGCACGGGCTCCTTGTGTACACTTGCCTTCCTCAACAGTCTCGGAGGAGCAGAGCCAGTGGAATGCAGTGGTGGCTGGAAGACTTGCGGCCCATGCTCCTTGGCCTGGATGGACTGAGTGTAGCAAGTACATGGGCTTCCTCCTTGGACAGACAGCCCAGGAACTCAAAATCAGGCATGGCCACTGACTAGAAACCCAAAGATCCCCAAGCAGTAAAACTCCTATATATTTTTATTGCTTTTCTAATGTACCTCTCCAAAATGTAAACTTCTGCCCAAATGGCCAATGTTCTCGCTGAGTGTGTATGTGGAAGCTTCACAGTTTGGAGACTGAGGAATGTACCTGCACTTCCCCAGCACATCCCAGACAGAGCACTTCTGGGCTGAGGGTGCCAAGGACAGCTGCCAGCTGAGAGCCGATCTTGGGTCGGCCTTTGCCAGAACAGGGCGTGGCTGGGGTGGAGCAGCAGCTGGGGCTGGGTCCTGGGTTCCGAAGAGGCTGGAATTTGTATGGTGGAGGCTGTGCTCCATGTCACGCTCCAATAAACTCACTGCTTGGCGGGGCCACCCGAAGGTATTCTGCATTTTCCGCTGTGGGGCCCTTAAAGATGCCGTTGGGCTTGGCTTCCTTGGGGAAGAAGTCCTGCTGGTAGTCAGGGTTGTCCAGGCTAATTTGGTGGTTGCCCTTCTGGGTCCAGGGGATGGAGCCGTCTGAGTCGCTGACACAGGTCCGCAGGAGGGTGTTGAGATACTCAGGGTTGCCCACGGCATAGCTGTGGGGGTTTAGGTAGTGTGGGTCTCTGCCAGGAGCGGGGTGCTCGGGCTGATTGTGATACATGGGGTTCTGCATGGAGCCTGCAGGCCTTCTGGAGAAGGACTGGTTTATGTATTCTGAAATTGAGAAGAGAACAGGGCAAGGTCAGCGGCAAAGCATTGCCCTGAGACTCCAAGGCGGGTTCTGGGCTCGTGGTGAACCCTGTGAATGTCTGCAATGTTGCAGTCATAGCAGAGGCACAGAAGCCTTAGGGGTGACTGTAGAATACACTGCACACTTGTCTGCTCTTCCTGAAGCCAGGGCACTTGTCTCTTCGGCAAGTTTCAAGTTCTCAGAGGACAGCCTGCCTCTGTGGGTGTGTACGTGTGCATGCCTGTGCCTGCGGAAGCACATTGCAGTTTGGAAGTGTCTGGAGCTACAGCTCAGATTAGAAAAATACATATTTCACAGGCCAAGCACAGAGCCAGGCAAGAGAACATGCATTATCTGTCCTACGCACACACATCCACATCTACACACACAAACATACACGCACGCACAGTGTGTGCTTGAACACACACATACACACATGGCTATCTTTGCTGTCTGCTTCAAACTCCAGAAAATCTGTGGATCCATTTCTAAAACAGACCCACAGCAAACAACCCAGCAGCTTCCCGAGTCCACACCAGGCCTTGTGCACGCTCCAACTTTTGACCTCCGAGATGTCCAGGGAAGGGGCGTTGGGTGTGAGCAACCACTCACCGGGTGCTGGGAGGAACTCGGCATCCAGGCTATCCTCGGCTGGGGCGCCCGTGGGGTCCGAGCTGTAGCGCTGCAGGAAGTTGTCTCCCTGGGCAGGGCAGCTCTGCTGGGGGAGACAGGCAGGGTGGCCTCACTGGGGACGGACCCCATCTGCGCCTGCTGCAGAGCAGGCTCAGGGCCTGGGGTGGGGCCCGAGAGTGGGGCCTGCGGACACCCAACACCTGGTGCACACTGTGCCCCAACATGCCTAGTGCTGTGGGTGCCCTGCCCTCTGCCCTGTTCACACAGTGGCATGGACAGCTATGCACACTTCACATGCATGAGGAGCAAGTGCACATTCTGCTGCATTGCTACTCTCCAGGGTAAGCGTCACACGTAAGTGCCCCAGCATCCCCTCAGTGGCTGAGGGAACACAGGCCTCTGGTCCCCCAGAGACCCTGGTTCAGCAGGCCTGGCTGGTGGCCTGAGGATCTACAATTTTGTTTTCTTCTGTGGTACTGGGGTCAAACCCAGGACCTTGGCACTGAGCTACACCTCCCCCCTTTTTTGTATTTTGTATTTTGAGACAGGGTCTCATTAAGCTACCAAGTTGTTCAAGCTTGGCTTGAACTTGTGATCCTCCTGCCTCTGCCCCAGGGCACTGGGGCTCGAAGGTGGGCACCACCATTCCCAGCTGAGAATGTACACTTCTAACAAAGCGGTGCTGTTCAGTGGTTCAGGAGCCACCCTGTGAATGGCAGCCTGACAGGTGATGGCTCATCGGCCACCTTGGGGCACAGGGAGGCGTCCATGCAGGAGGAAGGAAGCAGTGAGTCTGGGTCCAGACTCGCTTTCCATGCACAGCAGAGCTGCGCTGAGTACAGAGCTGCTGGGTAGTTCTGCTTTGTAAAGTGTTTTACCTACCCCGTTTCTGTGAACACAAGCTCCCGTGGAGTTGTTGCTGTTTGCACTCTGAAAAGGAGACAGAGAAGGGGTTGCGGAGCACTGCTCTCCTCCCCACTTCCCCGGATTGCAGTGGGTCTCACTGGTGGGAGATGCGGAGGTGCTTAATTTCCCTCTTGAATCACTCCCTTTACAAAAACTAGGCTTGGCTAGATTTCACGTTGTTCTTGGGCAGATCAGGAAGGATTACCCAAGCAGTTGTGATGCCACAAAGTAATCCATACCTGTACTTGCCTGATTTTGATTTTGACTTTATTATTCAGTAAAAGTTTACTTCTTTGTCTGTAGGTGAGTTTCACTAGATCTAGGTGGTCATTTTCTCAAAAGTCAATGTGTTTAAAACACTGGAGAAAAAGAAGAGGGAGAGAGGGAGGGAGGGAGGGGGAGGAGAGAGAGAGAGACAGAGAGGGGGGGAGAGAGAGAGAGAGAGAGAGAGGGAGAGGGAGAGGCTGTTTGTACCAGAGAACTCAGGAGTGGAGTCCGGGAGGTGGAGGGGCTGCTGAAGAAGCCCTGCTGTGGAATGAGGTATTCGTCTGCATCTACGACATCCTCCATGTCCTCCTCGTCCATCAGGGCACGGTAGAAGTTGGAGTCCGTAGGGCTTGGCAGATGCATCCTTTCATCCCCCTGGTGCAGAGAGCTTGACGGTTAGCAAGGGTCCTCAGGAGCTGCCCCATTTCCTGGCCATAGCAGTGAGGCTCTGTCCTCAGTAGGGTCCTGTGTGCTTGCTGATTCAATTTTCTGTGGTATTGAGAACTGAATCCAGGGCCTTTTCACTGAGCTATGTCCCCAGCACGTTTTAGAATTTTTATATTGATAGAGGATCTCACTAAGTTGCCACCTTCCTCAGGCTTGTTCAGACTTGTGATTGTCCTCCAGCCTCACCTTCCCAGAGTGCTGGGATTACAGGTGTGTGTCATCACACCTGGCTTGTTCTCACTGTAATCCAGTCTGGCCACAAACTTGTGATCCTCCTGCTTCAGCCTCTCCAATGCTGGGATTGTGAGCATGCAAACCATGCCTGGTTTGCCAATTTAGTTGTAACACAATCCCTGCAGCTTTCTGCAGCATACAGCTGCTTTCCCCACTGCATATGGGGACCTGGGGGTAAAATATTAAAAGTCTGGAAGTCTCCATGGGGAGGAGAAAGGGAAGAGGCTGCAGCATTTACCAGGCACATACTGTGCTGTTAAGTGCTGCACAGTGCATGTTACTGATACATTAACTCACTGAATCTGAACACTAAGACGACCCTAGAGGGCTTGGTGGGCAGAGCTGTGGGGACCCATGGAAGGGGCAGCTACCTCTGGAAAGGAGAGTTCAGAGGACTGGGCTGGGCAGGACCCACCCCTGGTTCTCAGTCCAGCTTGCTCCTTAAGGGGGACCCCCTGTAACCCATGGTGGGGTTTACAAGACCAGTGTTCTACTCCCTGAGCTATGGCTCCAAGTGCTGTGGGACTTCACAGTGTGACTGAGGCTCAGGCCGAAGGACAGGCACAGTGACAGCAGGTGGTCCCAAAGGGGCCCAGTACCTGAATGACAAGGTAGCGCTGGGGGTCTCGGGCCATTTTGGAGAACTCAACGATTAACTCGCGGAACTTCGGGCGACTGTCTGCATCTATCATCCAGCCTGAGAAGGAACAAGAAAAACAGCAATTAGAGCCTGGGAGAAATGATAAAGATGGCGTTGTTATGGTTTACGGATTGATGTCCTCCGAGCCTGGCTTGTGGGGTGAGGAGGTAAGGCCTGGTGGGAAGAGGGGTCCTTGGAGAAGGGCCCGGAGGGGTCCATGTCCCTCTTGGTGCCTCCCCTCTCTTTGCTTCCTGCCACCATGACATTGCTGGGCGAGGCCCCTCTGAGATGCTGCCCTGCCTTGGGGCCAGCGAGCACGGCTGAAACCTCTACCAGGTGTGAGCCCCGATAAGCCTCTCCTCAAGTTGTGCGTGTTGTGCACTTTGTCCCAGAAACAAAAAAGTAACTAAAACAATTTCTTAAAAAAAGCATTTATGTCATGAAAGACCCAGAATAGCCAAAGGAATCCTGAGGTCAGTAAGCAAACAGGCAAACAAGAAACAAAACACAGGCCGGAGGCATCACAACAGTGGATTCCACACCACTCCACACAGCCATGGTTATTAAAACAGCATAGCAGGCACAAAGCAAGCATGGGCCAGACAGACAGGATGGACAGCCCAACTGCTAACACACAGCGCACTCAGTGGCTGACTCCTGACAGAGGCACCAAGAACACACTGTGGAGCAGACAGCCTCTCCCTAAGCAGTGTTGGCAGAGCCGATGGGATGCACACAGGAAGGGAACCAGACCCTGCACGCACAAAGTCAACTCAAAGTGGATTAAAACCCTGACACTCAGGTGTGAAACCATGCAGCTACTTCCAGAAACCATAACGCAAACTTCCCAAGACACTGGTGTAGGCAACAGTCTTTCGCATACGATCCCAAAAGCACAGGAAACAAAAATAAAAATAGATAATCCCAGCACACTGGGAGTCTGAGGCAGGAGGATTGTAAGTTTGACCTCAGCCTGGGCAGCTTAGGAACTTAGTGAGACCCTACCTCAAAATTAAAAAGCAAAATGGGCTGGGGTGTAACTCAGTGTGGAGGCCCTGGTTCAATCCCTAGTACTGGGGAAAATAAAAATGGATAAGAAAACGTCAAACTAAGAAGCTTCTGCACAGAAAAACGGCAGCAGCTACAACAATCTCCAACAGTCAGAGACAACCTGTGAATGAACATCTTGGCAAATAGTACAAATGAAAGCTGAACACACACAAAGCCCCCTAAAATAAACAATTTAATTGAACAGTGGGCAAAGAACCAAACAGCACTTCTCTAAGAAGACATACAGTTGGCAAGAGATATATGAAAAAACGCTGTTTCATGAATCATGAGAGAAATGCAAATCAAAAGCACCCTGAGATATGGTCTCACCCCAGCTAGGGTGGCTCTCACCTCAAAGACAGGAAATGATACATGCTGGCCAGGATGGGAGAAAGGAGCTTTTCAACACCATGGCTGGAACGCAAGTTAGGACAGCCATGGAAACCAGCATGGAGACTCCTCAGAAACTACAGCTAGAACTATAGTTTGACCTAGCAATTCCACGAGTGGGCATGTATCTGAACGATACAAAATCTGAGACCAAGGAGATACCTGCACCTCCATGTTTCTCCGAGCCAAAATGCACAGCCAACCCATGTGCCCTTGCCTTGAATGGATAAAGAAAATGTGGTATGTTTACATAGTGGAGTACTATGCAGGCAGAAAGAGTGAAATCTTGCCATTTGTAGCCCTGTGGGTAGAACTGGAGATCATTATGTCCAGTGAAAGAAGACAGGCAGAGAAAGACAAAAGCACATGTTCTCAGTCGTTTAGGGAAACCTTGTGGAACAGTGAGCACTAGAATGGGGGAGGGGAAGGGGCAGAACTCAGGGGCTTCTAGGGATCGGGAAGGCGGGGGGCAGGGGAAGAAGGTGGGGAGAGGGAGGGTGGAAAGCTGTGACCACTGCATGTGCACACCGGGAGCCCCCAGAGAGCCCCACAGGTCTGTATGATGCGCAGGTGGTAAAAATAAGAGGACAGGAGAAAGCGAGCCGTTACCAGTGGAAGAAGAGGGCAATTCTGGTGCAGGGCTGTGGGACAAGCCACGGGGGAGAAGCCCAACCTTCACAGTGGACCTCAGCCCTGGCCCCACACTGCTGGCTGTCGCAGGGCAGTGGGCCGATCAGTGCCTCTGGTTTCCTGCACCTGCCCTTCCGAGTGTCTCCCTGTGATGGAGCCACGGCTCGCAAGCCACCGCAAGCCAGACCTGATCCATGGAGCACAGTGGCACTGGGCAGAGCTGGTCTGACCGCCTCGGGCCATCACGGCACCCCACACCCAGGCATCTCCTAGGCAGGGCAGGGCCAGGGGCCTCCAGCCTCCTTGTTTCTTTATTACCCACTCTGCAGAGCCAGGCACTGAACCCAGGGCTGTGAGTGCCAGTGTCTTCCTCACCACGTCTGCCTACCAAGCGCACGACCGTCCTGGCTCTGCCAGCGGGAGGCGCTGTCCCTAGAATTGCTCAGGCCTCTCCAGAGGGCCCATTCTTCCTCAGCAGGGCGCTGAGCTACCTTCAGCTGGATATCACATGACCTCGGACGAACCAGGTAACCCCTGGATCCCAGCAGCTCAGCAGACGCCAGGCAGCGGAGCCTGATGAACTCGTGGTGGGAAGTTCAGGGGCCACTTGCGTTCACGGGAACCTGGCTCTGTCATTCCCGTCCCCGGCTGCACGGAGCTTATGACCCAGGGCCCAGAGCACGGGGGTCCTGGTGGAACAGCAGCACCACCTGGTCCTCCAATGGGACAAGTGTTTAGTTACTGCCCTGGAGAAGACCTCGCAGAGATCCACCAAAGCAAGACTGTTGATCCTGTCAGCCTTGCTGTCAGGGATTTAACAACATTCTGTCCCACTGCCATGGGCTCCGCTGCTCAACAACACATCGCAGAGCAGAGGGCTTGGGTGCAAGGACTTGCGAAAGACTCCCTTCTGCTGATTTGCTCATGGGCATGAGCGGGTGTCAGGTCCCACGGCTCAGGGAGTCCACTTGGGGTGTCCACAGCTGTTCCCCAACCTGTGTGCCTGCCCCAAAGGGTTCAAGGACTGTGCTGTTGGGGACGGACAGAGGGCCAGGAGCAGAGGCCCTTCCCACCCGGCCGCTGGCACTCACACTTGACCATGATCATGTAGACGTCGATGGTGCAGATGGGCGGCTGCGGGAGGCGCTCTCCTTTCTCCAGGATGGACGAGATCTCGCTTGCAGGGATCCCGTCATATGGCTTGGACCCAAAGGTCATCAGCTCCCACACTGTGACTCCTGGAGGGGAAGCAAGCAGAGAGAGCAGTCACCTTGAGGCAGATGCTGCACTCAGGGAGGAGCAGTGGCTCCTCAGGGTTTATGACTGCACAGCTCCGGCGCCTCGCTGGGCTTCTGCAAGCCGCTTTCTGCCATGGAACAAGCAGGAAATAGCAGAGGCACCTGTCTGACATGAGCGAGATGATGGGACTGAAGGTGAGAAAATGCCTGGCAGACCATGGCTGACCCACAAATGGAAGACATCAGGGACAGCAAACGACAGTGGCTGGTGGCGTGTCGTCGATGCTGTGGCAGAGTCATGCTCACACCTGCCTAAGTGTCTGTATTCATGGGAGCAGAGGGATGGAGATTCCAAGCAAAGCTGTAGCTTATATTCCTCATGAAAAACATAAAAACCTCACATTTTTCATTTCAAAGTCAGTTGACTACCAACTTGTTTAATCAGGTTGAAGCAGGGGTTTCTTCCGACAAGCCCAGGTCCTGCTGGGCCCCTTGTCCCTGGGCTCCTCTAACGAGAGGCTCCGTTCTGCCATGGGGAGCCTTCCTTGGCTCTAGTGTGGCATCCTGTGGTGCTGTGGAGGCAGCCATGGAGGGACTGAGTGTGGGCCTGGACCACCCAGGACCACAGCGCCAGGACCCGAACCCAGAGCGTCAGGGTTCCAGCAGCCCAGGGACCTGAGCCCTTAGGCTCAACAACTCAAAGTCCCACATTCGAAATGCTCCGTAGTGATTTTGGTAAAGCCTGTGCAAATATTCTAAAATATGAAAAAATCCAAAATGTGAAATACTTCTGGTCCCTCCCATGCCTTTCGGAGCAGGGTCCTCTAACTGCACTGCAGACCTGCCCAGATTTTATGAGGCCATTTTCAAACACGAGCTGCCCAAGTTAACGTGCGGGCGTAAGGTCTAAGGGAAGGGGGGCAGGGTCCCCGGTGTCTCTGCCCTCCACAGCTGTGTGTAGGGAGAGGCTGCTGCCAGGTCGGTGGAGTCAGTGAGCACTGCCCGGGCAGGGTCCGCACAGAGGGAGAGCAGTGAGCGGGGTGACCCTGCGTGGGAGCCGGGCAACGGGGCTCCACGTCTGTCCAACTCCTTGGTGAAACACTATGTCCAAAATGTATTGGAATCCTTTTTGGCAGATCAGGGCACTGAACCTAGGACCTTTACGCTAAGCCACATCCCCAGCCTTTAAAAAAACTCTGCATCTTGAGACAGGCTTTCCTTAAGTCACTGAGCTGCCCAGGCCGGGCAGGAACTTGTGACCGCCGTCTCAGCCTCCTAGTGTGCTGGGATGACAGGCGTGTACCACTACGCCTGGCTCCAAGCAGTGCTCTGCCTTATGGCAGAGCCTAGTGTAGCAGGATGCTCCAACGCAGGCTCCTGCTCTAGCAACTCCTGGGCATTGCCAGAGACCGTGGGTTACAACCCCCATGGCACAGCACCCAGTGAGGTTGGACACACAGCTGTTCCGGGGCTGGTGACATGGGTGTGACCCCTGGGAGGCTGCCTCCTGTCTCTACTCACCCCGTGGGTGTGGACTGAGTTGGCTTTGCATGGTGGAGCTGGACAGGAAGGCTAGGGCTTCGAGGTGCCCTGCTCCCGTGCACTGTAGGAATCTGGGTTTTACCCGGACTTAGGGAAAAGCAAACAGCGGTGGGAAGCAGAGCAGCCAAAGCTGGTTGAGCCGTGGAGGCAGGGAGGGGTCAGCAGGCCAGGCGCACAGGGACCCGGGGCCCCAAAGGGGCTGGGCCAGACGAGGCCACACCGCTGCATCCCGTTTCTGCCCACCAAGGCTGTGGGCTCACAGGTGCTGTCCAGGCTCACTGAGCACCCAGCAGACACTGGGCTGGGCCCTGGCTCTGAGGGCACAGAAGCGTGCATCTCATGGGTGGACGGTTTGAAGAGCAAGTGGAAGGCAGGTGACAGGGGCAGGGGTGGACGCTGGGAAGACAGAAAGGGGCCCAGACGGCAGGGAGGGGTGAGGATGGCTCACGCGCCGTGCCTGGGATGCCGGTGTGAGGCGGTTGGGACACAGCGAAGCGTGCACTAAGGTGAAAAGAGAAGGTTATGCTCTAGCAGAAAAGAAATTACAAATGTGCATTTGGAAATCAAAGGTTAGTAAGTACTGAAATGGACAAAAAAGCAGCTTTACAAGTGCTGAGCGGACACTGAGTAATGGCTGCAGTGCTCGCCACAGGGGGTCTGTGCCAGGGCTGGGCCGAAGCCCCTCGCCACTGCCGCTGTGCAGGGCTGGGGACCATGGACAAAGAGGGATGAAGGGCGGTGTCTGCAGCTTTCCGTGGCTGGGAGGCCAGAGGGCTGTGTGGGACTACTGGTGACAGCAGACCGGCCAGGGGCCACCTCCTGGGGCACGTGCAGACAGGCCATGCAGGGCATTGTGAGGACAGAATTTGCCCTTCGGACACTGGGGGCCAGGAGGAGGCTTCTCCAGGTCCTCATGGGGCAGAGCAGTCCTCTCTCCTCCTTGGCTCTCCCCGAACTCTCTGACACCAAGGCCACCCGACTTCCTGAACACGGCCAGCATGGCGTCCAGGAACCCTCAGGTCTGCCGCTGCCCCAGCTCGCAGGCCCTCTCCTCACTCCCACAGACCTAGGCTGCCCTCCTCCCACTGAGGCCTCCCTGCGTCCCGGAGGAATCCAGACATGCAGGGCAGGGGTCAGACTCTGCTTCCTTGGTTGGGTTTTTAGTATCACAGACAGACAGCAACTATTACACGCCTGTTAGTCACTGTCATGAAAGAAAATACTTGTGTGTCACAGCATATAATGTCGATTAACAAACAATAAAAGCCAGCCTCACCACAGTACAAATTCATTAGCATCAAGATTGGACTCACCATAGCTCCAGACGTCACTCTGGTGGGTATAAATGCGGTGTAAAATCGATTCCAAAGCCATCCACTTGATGGGCACCTTGGGTGATGGGGACAAAGTGAGGAGACAGCATCCGCTCAGGTGGCTGAATGCCTAGCCCTGGCGCTGCCTCCCTCTCCCACGGAATGGGGCCATGGGGCCAGCCTGCCCATGCTGAGGGTCCAGGGTGGGCCCAGTGCTCCGAGCGCCCACATTCGGATGGGTCTTCTGGGGCAGTGCCCTGGCTGACGGCTGCTGGAGCCTCACCGGCCACAGGCTCCACAGGGGGCAGCAATATAGCTGGAGACTGGCTGGAGGGCCCAGCCTGCCGGTGTCCCTGTGCCATGACAGGGCCCGCGCCCCCGCCCAGGGAGAAGGCATGGGCTCCCATTGCTGCAGGCCCAACACGCATCCCCTGGGGCCCTCGGAGCCTGAGGAGAGCTCAGTACTTCCCAGCAGGCTCCGCAGCCTGGATACTGCGAGCTCCCAGTGGCTGGTGCCTGAGGGCAGGTGGGACCTCAGCGCCCCTGCTCCTCTCCCAGACCCTGCGGCACGGAAGTGGGGTGGCAGCCCGCGACCGCTATGGTGCCTGCACCTTGCCGCCCTCAGCGTGGTACTCCTTCTCCTCCGCGCCCAGCAGCTTGGCCAGCCCGAAGTCTGTGATCTTCACATGCTGTGGTGTCTTCACCAGGACGTTCCTGGCCGCCAGGTCCCGGTGCACCAGGCGCCGGTCCTCCAGGTAGTTCATGCCCTGGAACCGAGAGGCCTGGTGAGGGCTCCAAGGCGCCTGTGCTGTGGGTGGACGCCACTCACGGCCCTGAGCTGGATGCCATAGGCACAGCAGCTCTGAGGATGACTTCCGTCCACCTTTGTGCTGGGCCAATGCACACAGCGACAGGCAGCTGGTGAAAGTTAGTGGCCATGAGGTGTGATCGGGAAATACAGTGAATGTTTACGGTGGAAAATTATGGTGAGAGACACACGGGTCGCCCTCACGATCCCTCCTCTCTGGACGCACCCATCCCCCACTCTCACCACTCTTTGCGGCCGCTCTGGAGCCCTCTTTCCTGAGCGTCTTCATCTGCACTGTCCTAGCTCCCCGAATACCCCTGTGACTTTGGGGAGGAGCCAGAAGGTGCACGGTGCCCGCTCCAGTGAACAAGGCGGATGAGGGCACAGTGTGTTTTAGAGAGCCTGCCTTCCCTCAGATGGCGCTCAGCGGCAGCATTTGCTGTGCTTTGATCACACCTTGTAAAGGTGCAAAGGGGACTTGCAGACCTGCTTCAGAAAGCGGCAGGAACGACAGGATCAGTGCATCCAAAGTGAGGGGGATCTGGAAGGGGATTCATGGAAATGCGTCTTTTGCTGTAATCATTTTTTAAAATTAAGACATTCACTGTTTTCAATCACAGCTCTCCACATATTTGAAAAATAAACCCTTTGAGGTGAACTTTTAAACAGTTTACCCTGTGACACTTTATCTCAGAGGCCTGCTGAGTGTCATCATGAGGCTGAGCTCAGGGAATGACATCATGACCAGTCCTGGCAGGAGCCGCCAGCCCTGGCCTTGCGCCTGTTACCAGCGCCTCCGACCAGACCCGACCCGGATCATCTGTGTGCTGCAGGGTCAGATCAGTGGGGCCCAAGAACTTGCCCCTGTCTGGTCTTCATCTGGGTGACAAGAGGCACTCTGGTCCCCATAGTCTGGGAAAGTGCTGTGAGTCACAGTCTAAGCATCTTTCTTTACTGCGGGCTTTGCACTAACGCACATCGTCAGGCTCTAAGGGGAGGCTTGGGGTTTTCCAAACGCATGGACAATAGGATCTTCTGGGTCAGAACATGTTCTGTCATGGCATCACCTTGCTTCATGGTAGACGTGGGTGTTCCTGCTGGCTGTAGATGCAGTGTCTGGAACAAGAGCCCCTCCTGAATGCTGTCGGTGAGCTCCGGGTCTGCAGCTGGGACTTGAGCTATGGTGCATTAGTGGGCAAGGCCCCCTTGAGGTCCTCAGACCGAGCCCCTTAAGTGGAGGATCAGAGTCCATCGCACCATGTGGCAGGCAATGTGACATGTCGTCTCCCAGTCCTGTCCTGGTTTCTGCCCTCGGTAATTTGCTTCTGGTTTTGGTTTTATTATTATTATTTCCTTTCTCTTTTTGCCCAGCTGATATAACTGTATCCTTAGCTTAGTCCTGACAGTGAGCTGGCATAGACCGGCCAGCTCTCCTGGCGCGTCTGGAAGGCTTTCCAGGACAGCCCTTCCTTTGTGGGTCAACAGAGAACATTTTAAGTCAATAAATCCCACTTTGAAAAGGCTGGGAGTTTAGTTTCTGGCCAGCCACAGAGTGTTTCAAACTGGAAAAAAGAGTATTGTGTAATACTCAGATAATGTCACTCACCCAAGAACAAATCTTTATAATTTGGGAAACCATTATTCTTTTCTCCTGCAACAGATTCTCCACTACTAGGACCTTTCAAATATGGTGGAGTAAGGTTTCCCCTAACTAGGAAGCAAAGCTAGCACAGGCAAGACTTCAGCTCAGAACAAAGCCCAGCGGAGAATCACCACAGAACAGCGGCTTTACAGGGCAGGCTGAGTCCTGAGCGACTGCACACAGCAGCCCCGCAGCTCCACCTCAGGATCTGTGCTCACCCGAGCTTGAAGGGGACTACAGGGCTGGATCCCTGGGGTGGGCACTGTTAGTTACTGTGCTTCCATGACTCCTGCAGGAGGCTGGTGCCAGGGCCCAGAGAAACGCCCTCTTGGGCAGAACTGGAGCCTGTTGCAGGCAGTGCTGAGAGGCTGGCGGCTTGATCCTCGCGCTCAGGTAGTTGGGGGACAGATGTGGCTTCGCAGCCAGCGAGAGCAGAGCAGGGGGAGAGAGCAGAGCAGGGGGAGGGCCCTGCCCGCTCACGTGGCTCCTGATGTCAGAACAGAGGCCCACTCAGGCCAGAAGCCCCACCCCGCATTGGGAAACCTGTGGAGGCCGTGGCCCTGCAAGTAAAGCACCTCGCACTAATGGCCCGGCCGCGGCGTCACATCACAAGTCTCCATGCCAGGCTGTTGAAAGCACTGGAGATCAAACCCGGGGCCTTGCATGTACTGGGCCAGTGCTCCACCATCGCATGATTCCCCAGCCCATGCAGTCACCTTGCAGAGCTGAGAATTCACGTGAGATAACTGAAGACTTGACGCTAAGTCTCTGGGCCCTCCCGGTGAGGTTGGCATTAGAGAGGCCAGGTATGGCAGCACAGGTCAGTAATCCCACCACTCTGAGAGGCTGAGGCAGAAGGACTGCAGTTCCAGACCAGCCTGGGCAACTTAGCAACTTAGGGAAACCTTGTCTCAAAATAATTAAAAATAAAAAAAGAAAAGAAAAGAGGCCCTGGGTTCAATTCCCAGTTTGGAAAGAAAGTCATGCAGGTGGAGCTGGCCCTTGGGATGCAGAGCTCTGCTAGCTCCTCTGGCTGGGGACAGTGGCCAGGTGGTCACAGCCTCAGGGACAAAATTCATCTGCCCAGAGCACCTGTGCTGACAGTGGGCAGCAGAGGCTGCAGGGAAGGGGAGCGAGGTGTCCCTGCCCTCCCTGGGCCACCAGGGAAAGTGGCTTCAGGAGCGTGGGCCAAGTAGACCTTTAGAAGTAACTCCACACCGATGAACCGGCTCTGGGGTAACCACGGTCAGCTCTGGAGAGCTGAACCTTGCGCCTGTTTCACGCCTGCCCAGGTCCCTGGCAGGTGACTTCACGTGGGCCTCTGGGCTTTGCAGATCTCTGTTCAAGACCGAGATGGTGCCATCCCGGGTAGAGGCTGCGCCACGCTCCCCCGACTGGTGCTTTCTGCATGCATTTCTGGGGTGCGATCTTAGGTCTCCATGTGCACAAACTGCGCAACGACCAAGACAAACTCATCTGCAGATCAGCACCTCGCGCCCGGCCGGCCTTTTGTGGTAAGGGTGTTTAAAACCCACTCCCTCAGCATTTCAGGGGCAACCTCTGTGTCCACATCAGAAAGAGGAGGGGCATCCAGACACGTGGTAGAGTGGAGCCACCCAAAGACGAGCAACAAGGGGGTGACCCCACCACCCCAGCTGGAGCCAGGAGAAGTCTCTGGGCGAGAGGACCCTCTCATGCTTGGCCGGACTTTGTCTGCAGGACCGCTGGGGCACATGTGGGGAGGAGGTAGCAGCCCAACATTCCCACAGCAACACAGGGGGAGAAGGCTTCACATAGTGAGAGGCAAGTGGGCACCCCCTGCTTCAGGACCATGAGGGTTAGAGACTGGAGAGGAAGGGGCACCCCTTACTTTGGGAGTGGTGCTGCCCGTGGTGACTGGAGGGGGCTGGCCTCCCCTGCACCTCACACCCCAGCAGGTCTTGGGGTGTCCCGGGCAGCTGCTGGCAGAGGGGTGCCCGGAACTGGTCTTTGTTCTGTGAATCACCTCCACCTGCCTGGGCCAGCCTGCTGGCTGTCCGAGGGGACAGGGACGAGGGTGTACACCAGGCATGGGGTCTGCCAATGGTGTGGAACGTACTCGTTGCCAGAAGAAATCATGTTTAGGAAGTTGGATGCCAGCAGCTGGTGCAGCTGAGTTGAGAGGGGAGAGCCTGGGGCCATGATCGGCTCAGCAGCAGCTCCTGCCCATCCCTAGTCCACAGACAGCCCTGTCCCTGCTCTGCAGAGCCTGGCCACAGGGACTCTGGAGGGCCCCCCATGCAGCAGTGGCCCTGCTCACCCCTGCAGCTCTGAGCCTGCACCCAGGCCTCTGGCCCCAGAGCCTGCCTGTCCTCCTGGCCCTCCTGACTCTTCCTGGCTCCCCGGGAGAAGCCACACTGCAAATCACCACTGTGTCCCCGAGAAGAGCTGGAGAGGTGGGGACCTCACTGCAGCCAGCACCGTGACAGCGAAACCTGCATAGCTGCACACGGGGCCTCCACACGCGCTGGGTGACGGGGCTCATGCGCACACCTCATGACTGCCCCAGTTACCCTGAGGTAAGAAAGGCAGCATCCCCTGCAGGCACGCACACTCAGGCCCCCACCCCACCCCAGCGCCTGCCACCCTGACAAGGACCTGGCTGCTCCCTTCCACCACCCTGATCCTCCTGGCGGCTTCCTGCCCTCGGTGACCCAGTGCCTGTCTCACCTTGGCGATCTGCACACACCAGTTGAGGAGGTGCTGAGACCCGATGTTGTCCTTGTGCTCACGCACGTAGTCCAGCAGGCAGCCGAAGGGCATGAGCTGTGTGACCAGCTGCACGGTGGAGGTTAGGCAGATGCCCAGCAGTCGGCACACGTGGGGGTTGTCCACGCTGGCCATCACATAGGCTTCCTGTGGGGAGGGAGGGCACACACGTCAGAACGGGCTGGGGATGCAGACCCTCCAGTCGCAGGTGGCCTGGCCCTGCACAGTATCCAGTGCTCTGGCCTCAGAGGCTGGGGAGCTACAGAGGGGCAGGGGCCCTCGCTGTTTGGGGTCCTGTGTGACACAGAGCCCACGAGTGCAGGGCGAGAGGCTTGAGTGCCCTGGTGCCTCCGACAGTCTGTGAGCTGCTGGTGTCTCCTGAGGGGCCCCGCGGTCAGGGCCTGTGACAGCCAAGGTGGGCCAGGACATGAGTAGTGCCACAAAAACTGCTCTAGGCAGGGCACCCAGCAGGCAGCAGACCAGGACTCCCGCTCAGGAGCAGCCCGCCCCTGCCAAGGACGGGCGATGAGGCACTGGGCGGGGCTGCCCATGCAGCCCTGCCGTCATGGGGGAAGCACCTCTGGCATCCTGGCTGCAGCCCTGAAATGCCCGTGGCATAGACCCTTCTTCAAGGAGAGGCTCCTGCCTCAGCCTCCCATGGGGCAAATCTCACCACTCTGCACAGTGCCCCCACTCTCTCGCAGGCTGGCTTCCAGGCCGGAACCTGTGCATAGCAGATCCATGACACAGATTTTGATTTAACTCTGGTCCGCCATTCCTAAGCTGGGGAGGTTGCATTTGTTTACAACCCTGGACACAATGTGGCCTCTCTTTTGGGTGAGATTTAAGGGTCCCCGATTTCCACCCATAAATTCTCTGTCCCTCTGAAACACAGTGGTGGTGACCTTTTACCGGGATGTGAAGGGGACAACAAGGGCTGCAGGAGAACATGCGCTGGGGGGCTGGGCAGCTGGTGTCCCTCTGCAGGGCTCATGGCCGGGCGGGCAGCTCTGGGGTGGGGCGGCGTGCGCCCTGGAGGGGCTGTGGGGCAGGACTGGGTGGTGGCCATGTGCTTGCACCTACATGTGCGGATCAGGATTCATTTACACATATTGTGCACTGTTTGGGGTGCATGCACTGTGCCCCAGTCCAGGTCCTGCAGCTCCCGGAAGGGCCAGCTGACCCCTCACACAAGGCCTCTGGCCCCAACTCCTTCCCACCTCTTCCTCTCCCCAATCCCAGTGTCCTGCAGGCCACCTTGGGAAGCAGCCTCAGCCAGGCCTGGGAGCTGTGAGCGGCCATCCTGCCAGGCCAGGGACACACAGGAGCGGGTGCTTTCTGAGCGAGCCCTTGGGTCCCGATGCAGCCCCAGTGGCCTGGGGCACCGTCCTTCGGCATGCTTTGCTGGGGGCTTTGGATCTGCTCCAGGTGGGGAGCAGTTTCTCTTTCACATTATAAACATGACATACTAACATCATGGAGCAGAGCAAGCCACACATACTGCCAGCCTGGCACTCTGGGAGGCTGAGGCAGGAGGAGGGCCAGTTCCAGCCCAGGCTGGGCAACTTAGAGACTTAAGGGAACTTGGTCTCAAAATTTAAAAAATTCAAAAGGACTGGGGATACAGCTTGGTGTGAAAACCCTGGGTTCAATGCCCAGTACAGAAAAACAGAAGGGCCACACAGATGTTGAATACCTGTGGATGCTGTGCGCACCGGCAGCTCCCTTCCTCTTGGGACAGTCACTTGATCAGAACAAGAGCAGGTCAGGGCCTGCACAGGGCTCACCTGAGGCCACTGGTGGGGCTTCTACCCAGTGTGCCCCTAATGCCTCCCACGCTCAGGCGTGGGGCTCTGCATGGTCACTGGATCCTGGGGCTCAGAGCCACTTGCTGCTAGGAGGCGGGACTCGGCCAAGCCGGAAGGACCCCTCTCCCTCCAGCTCCTCCCTGGACACCATGCCATGAGCTGCTTCCCTTCATGGCAATCCTTCCATCGTGCCACCCTGTCCGGGTGCTTGCCTATGGTAGACTGAAAGCTCTACAAACCGTGAGGCAAAATGAGCCCCTCCCCCTTCAAGGCTGGGTGTCAGGGGGCAGTGATGCAGGTGCTGTCACAGTGCGGACCCCAGGCCTGGTGAAGACAGGGCCAGCTGCAGCCCGCTTTTCCATGGCAGGACAGGACCCATCCGGGTCTCCTAACCTGGCCCAGCTGCCTCCTCCCCAGACCACTGGCACCCATGGGTAGCCAAGGATGCCGAGGGCCTGAGCGCTGCTGCAGGACACAAACCATGGCGCGCAGGGGCCCTAGTTAGTGGGACGTCACACACAGAGGTGCATGCGTGGGTGGGCACCTGTATAAAGCTACTCTGACTTGCTCTTCCACTCCTGCCCTACATTTAAACTGGAAAGTCTGGAAAAGTTAACTTCCACGGGATGCCAGTGAGGTACGAATCCTACCTCTTCCCACATCTAAGAAGCTATGCGACGGTCACAGAGGGAAGTCCCTGCTGTCCTCGTGTCCTGGTCCCCGGGCTCTGGTGAGGTCTGGGTGGCTCTGTTCTCAGTTCCAGGGAGGGACATGTGCAGAGCCGGCCATGTGAGCAGCCCACTTTGGTGGCGGGCACTGACCTGGTCTGGACCAGCACGGAGCGGGTGGGGTGCTGGGCCACACAAGTTGGGGGGACCTGCCAAGATCCATCCCCATGGAATCTGATCGGCCCACAGGACAGCAGGCATGGCTTCCTGCCCCCACCATAGGAGCCTGGTTAAAGTGAGCTTTGTCCTCTACTGTTTGTCTTGGAAATGGTGGAGGTGCAGCATCACCGAAGCAAGTATGCCTGGAATCCTGGCTGAGTGGAGCAGAGCCTTGCTCGGGGACCGGAGTCCTCCCTGGCCATCCCAGGCTTCAGTGAGCACCTCGACAGGCTTGGTCCATCCTCTCCAAGGAAATGATCTTCGAGTCCCTTTCTGTTGCTTGTCTCCCTCTTCCTTGAACTACTTTATGTTCTGAATGGGGAGAGGGTTCCACTAGATCTTAAACTCCTTAACAGGAGCCCTATGCACAGGGGAGGAGCTCCTGGCATTTTAAGACTTTACTAGCTCACTAAGCCACTGACAGCCAGGTGAAGCAGAGGCCCTGCATACGCAGGACCACAGAGCACTGGCCGGTGGAACCACACAGGCCTCAGAGGTGGCACTTAGAGAACACAGTGGGGATGCGCTGCTTCGCGAGCCGCTCAAGCTTCCCTCAGGCTGGACTGGCCTCTGCGGCACTGGTGCTATGTCCCTGCAAAGAAGCCCCCATCTGTCCCTTCCTGTGGGGCCCTCAACACCCACACGGCCTATGCAGATGGGACTCGAGCGCCAGGTATGCCCTGCTTCGGGATGAGCAGACAAGGGACCTTGTCCCGGCTTCCCAGCCATAACAGCTGATGTTTCAAGAGGAGATCAAAGACTCGACTGAAGAAACAGGGGAAAGGAAGCCAAAATAATAGAGCAGAAAAGGGGACCAGGAAAGAGGTGAAAAAGAGGCAAAACAGGGTCCTTCGGGTGTCCGACACATAACTGTTAAGCCTTTCCTTCCTCCAGCCTCTACCCCATCTCCATCCCCAGTAATCGCAGATTTCCCACAGCTGACATCTGCCAGAGGGAGGGCCAGATGTGCTGGTGAAAACTGGCTCCTGCAGGAGGAATGAGCTGCGAGCTGCGACATTTACAGCACTTCGAGGTGGCCCTGCTCTGCATTATGGGTGTGGCTTCTTAGACTGGCTTGAAGGGAAGCCATGGGAGCAAGTTCAGCACAAAGGCTTTCTCTTTACCAGTGCAGGCGAGAGCCTGTGTGAGTGAGCTTTCGCAGAGCCTGTCTCCTGCTTTTCACATGCTGCTCGAGCAGTCTTAACAACACACTAGCAAAATGCGACACTGCCAGTGGACCTTTCAAAGCAAAGATAATTGCGTCTGATAAGTGTGCCCTGGACATCAGGACTTTCTACCACCCTGTAATGATAATATAACCCCTGTCACTGAGGCTGCACCACAGAGTCAGCCCTGCTGTAAGAAAGGGGGGTGCTCCCCAGGGAAAGCCTGGAGGGTGTCAGCCCTGGGAAAGTCACTGTCTGGCGCGTGCTGAAGGCTCTGCTCGCTCTGGCCCCTGCGTGCTCTGTGGTTGGACAGCGTGGGGGGTCTCACGCGGCTTTCAGCCTTAATTATAAGATCAGCTAAATTCTCTGAACCTTTGAAGCCACAGGCAGCCTTCTTCCTTTGCCCCGGCTCTGTTTGCCCAGCCCCAGCCCAGAGCTCTCAGTGAGAAGCAGCCTGCTGAGGCGTGCGTGTTATGGGTCACCCTCTCCTCCCGTCACCTGCCCAGCCTCAGGGTAACAGCCTGAGGTTTCAGTTGCTCCTAGCTGCCAGGCTGACCTTGCAGTGGGCCTAGTCCCCCTCCAGGAAGGGCTCTGTGCTGGGCTGGGAGGCTGGAGGGGTGGGAAAAGAGCTGACATCGAGGACTGACATTAAATTGGGGGCACAGAAGATGGGCAATGTTTTACTTAGTGTGCATGGGGGTGGGCCCAGGGCCTTCGCACTGAGCTACATCCCCATCCTCCCTCCCACCCTAGGGTCTTACTAAGTAGCTAAGTTGCCCAAGCTGGGCTCAAATTTGTGATCTTCCTGCCTCAGCCTCCCAGAGTGCTGGGATTATAGACCATCAGTCCTGGCACCAGTTTATACAATGGGCCTCATGTTGTTCATTCTAGGCATCCTTCATAAAGGCCATTTCAAAGATAAGATAATGCGGCAGAGCACACTGAATCTGAGTCTCAGAGTCAGCAGTAGAGCTGGCCTCATCCTATCCAGCCACATGAGGCAGAGATGTTTTGTTGACCACACCATTTCTTCCAAAAGGTACAGGACTTTGGATGTTTTGCCCCAGGCCCTTCTTGAGCTCCAAGTGTGGCTGTGCCTGCATCTGAAACACTCAGCACTTTGCTCACAGAGGAGTGTGGACACCTTCCCAAGGGCGCAAAGTAAACCCGGTGGGAGGAGATCCTGAGACAGGCAATCCTCAGTAGAACGCCACACGCGCAAGTCCACTTCTGCTTCCATGCCCACAACTGAGTTGAAAAGCCTTGGTGAGGAAAGTGTGCATGCACTAGTGATAATCTAAACAAAGAAATTAGGCCGAGGGTGCTGGTGCACCCCTGAATCTCAGCCCTCGGGGTGGCTGAGGCAGGAGGCTTGCAAGCTCAATCCAGCCCAGGCAAGTTAGAGACTCAGTGAGACCCTGTCACGGATTTTAAAAAGGCGAGGAGGCTGGGGATACAGTTCAGTGCTAAGGCCCTGGTTTCCATCTCCAGTACTGTGAATATCAATAGGCCGCTAAACAAATGTGTAAATAAATAAATAAATAAAGGACTGGTCCCTGGTAGGGGGTGATGGCAGAAGGGAAGAGGTGAGCTTTCCTGGTAAGAGGAGCGAATTATGTCAACTGTGGAAGGAAAGAGGACCTGGAGAGTAGACGTGTAGAGTGTGGTGATGAACAGAAGTCTACGTGAGAGTGCCCGGTGCCCAGAGAAAGGGGTTTTGATGCCTGGGGCCCGAGGTGCACTCACGTCCAGGATCTCCTTGTTGGCTTTCGGGGATGTGGCTTCTCGCAATTCCTTGATGGCCACAGGGATCTTCACTTTCTCGCCTTCTGGGATCCACAGTCCCTGGGGTGGGGGAAGGGGGTCAGCAGCAGTGGTCACACATGCAATGCTGACCCGTGAGGGATGGGTCTGCAGGGGGCACAGTCCTCGGGGAGGCCCTGCAGTTCCAGGCTCCCAGTGGGAGACTATTTAGCTAATGGCCGTGCCCTGCTGCGGTGAGGTCTGGTGTCACTTCCTGCAGACCCCAGAGCCCCTGGCCTCACTGCAGGTGGACTTGCTATGAAGGACTAGACAGCGGCGCGCGCTGGGTCTCGTCCTGAGGCCTCGGCCCCACCTGGGCCACCCTCCCCGCAAAAGTCTTCGACTGCCCATAAAATGTGCCTGCATCTGTCACGGTGGCTGCAAAAGATTCCATAGCTGGGGAATGCTGGGGTCCCCAAGCCCTCAGCCGAGCATGGATGGCAGTGGAGTGGGAGACGCCTTGGCCCATCCCCCACAGAACTCAAGGCTTGGTGGCCCCATCCTTGGAGGCCCCGGGACTCACCTTGTAGACGGTGCCAAATGCTCCGGAGCCTAGCACCTTGGCCTTCTTGAATTCTGTCTCCTTTAGGATCCGCAGCAGGGCCTGGTTGGGGGCCTCTCCACTGGGTGTGAGGGGCTCCACCAGCTGCAGAGAGGGCAGAGGTGAGGCGTGGGGTGACGCGGGGTGCAGTGTTGATGAGCCCTCAGCCTTCTCTGAGGCACCTGATATGCCAGGTGTGGGCGCAGCATGCCTGTCATCCCCACTCTGGAGGCTGAGGCAGGCGGATCCCAAGTGTGGGTCCAAGCTGGGCGGCTTTGAAATTTAGTGACACTATGTCTCAGAATTTACAAATAAATACATAAATAAATGAAGGGCTGGGGATGTGGCTTAGTGCAAAGGCCCTGGGTTCAACCCCATAACAAGACACAGACCTACAGAACGTGGAAGAAAGAGACTCTGAAGCCGAGTGCTGCACTGGAACAGCGCATCCCATGTGAGCTGTTTCCATACCAGTCGGCCGGGCTGCAAACCTCGAGGAGCATATTTTCCCTACAGCTTCTCTGCTGCCTGCAGGGCCCACAGTGCAGGGGACACTGCTTCTGAGGGACGCGGGCTTCCCCAGTGTGGAACAGGGAACACAGCAGGGGGCAGATGAAGGACAGCGCCAGCCGCTGAGCCCAGACGGGAGCAGCCGCTTTGGGGACAGCAGGGTTTCCAGAGACCTGGCTCATGCAGAGCCTTCCCCAGCCTCCTCGGCCTGCATCACTGCCGCAGCCACGGCCTCTGCTTGGCTTCAATAGCACTGAGCATGACCCCCTGGAGCCACCGACACTCACGGGGCTCAGGCAACAATATGCACCCCGAGTGTAATGGGACACGCAGAGACTTCTCCTGGTGAGAAATGCAACCGTATGCCTGCAAGGTCTGGACGGCTCCTCCAGCAGTGCTCCCGGGAGGCAGGTGCCTTCAGGGGAGGCCTGTGGTCACTGGGGTGTGCAGAGAAAGGGATGGGAGGGCCCCTCTCTTCTGCTTTGCTCCTGGCACGAGGCTGTGGGTTTGTCGGCCACACTCGTCCATGGCCACAGGCCCAGAGAAACAGCTTGTCCACCATGGACCGCAAACCCGGAATGAGCCATAATAAACCCGCCTCTTGGTTGCTGACTGTCTCGGGAACTTGTTACAGTGATGGGAAATTGCTGAAGCACTGTGAAACACCAGATGGTGCGGGCGCAGGCTCCAGAGCGAGGCCGCTGCCCAGGAGGAGCGAGGCTCTGGCTGAACTCACCTCACGCTCCTGCAGCAGCCGGCGCAGTGTGCGCTTGCGGACAATGTGGCGCCTCCGCATGAAGAGGCCGACGCCCAGGGCCAGCACCACCAGCAGGAAGAGGCCGCCCACAATCCCAGTGGCGATGGAGGGGATCCTGGGCCTGCAGCGAGGGGAGAGACAGAGCCTGTGACGTCGACACATTCCCTGCCCCTCCGGCACAGAGACCTTACTTCCACAACCCCTGGGGGCGCACACAGCTTCCTCATCGCCATCATTCTCAGCCTCTCCCCAGCCCAGCCCCGCTCAGCACCCTCAAAGGTGAAGTCTCATTGGGCTTTACAATAGGATGCCTACTTTTTAATCTATCGACTGAGAAACATGCAATGTAAGATGGTCAGACTTCAGCAGTGCTCCTATGTGAAGTACTCTGTTCTTTCCTGGAGCACAGCTGAGCAATGGGAGAGCCGTAGCCAGGCATTGTCTCCTAGCCAGTGGGCCATGGAGACCCCACCAGCCCGGAGTCCTGGGCCTCCAGGATGGGCCTGAGGTTGCAAAGCAACAGGACTGAGCTGTGAGAAGCAGGGTGATGTAGCCAAGCAGCTCAGACCCCAGGGAAGGGAAACACAGAGGCTGGCTTTTGGGCTCACGAGGGAAAGGAAGGTGCCCAGCAACGTGAGGAAGTCTGAAGTGGGAGTCTTCAGGAAGCACATCCACGCCCCCTTTCTGGCTGTGCATTGTTAGGGTTATCATTGTTAAGTGCCCCACTTGAATTCTTGGCAGACTGACTTTTATTTTCAGGTAGGAATGCTAATGAAGAGCAAAGGTGAATCTGCAGCACCATCTGCACATAGCAAGGTGCCACCGTCCTTGCAGTCCGCCTAAGTGGGTCGAGCTGCTTCACCAAAATGACGCCCCCACCAGCTTTCTTTTCAGCTCCACAGGAGTCATCTCCTGCACCGTGCACTGGATCCCCGACTAACACAGTTTGGATTAATGAGCTTTTACTATTCTGAGGGGGACACTGGAGGCAGAAGGAACAGTTTGCTACAGAGTTCTCCAGGGAGCCAAGGAGTGAGGCTGAATAATGGAAAAGAGTAGAAAACAATTAGAAAGAGTAAATATTAACAAGGAATAGCCACTGCTGCGTTTGAGGTGTGCACGCAATGGGAACCTTGTCCCCGGGCCCGAGCTGAGTGTGGAGCTGGGACGAGTTTCCAGGTGTCCTTGTTGGTGGGTGAGGCCTGGGATGGAAGCAGGTGCTACCTGGGGAGTCCCCTTACTCCTAGGCTTTCACCCCACTGCGACCCTCAGCTGTGCGGCAGAGTGCAGTGGGCGGAAGTTGAGGAAGAACTGGTGAGTGGGGATTTTGCAGACATGACCTGAAGGGACAGAGGAGCCAGGAGCTGCTGGCTGGACAGTTGTCGGAAATGGCAAGCAGCGTCTGGAGAGCAACAGACCCCTCCTGCAGCACTGCTAATGGGTGATGACGCTGCTTCCTGCTGTGGCTGAACGGGAACGTGCAGCTTTGCTTTTGTCAGTGCCCCATTTCCAGTCACAGTGGCAGTCGAGCCGGAGCAAGATGCTGAAGGAAGCCGCCTCACACTCACTGACAACACATTTCCACAGGGAAGTAAGGAGAGACCTGCTCCACCTGGGCTTGGCCAGCCAGTGGGAGGCCTTTGGGACCCAGATTGTGGTGGGATGGCTGCTGGGTTCTGTGGGTGCTGGAGTCTCCTTCTTGGGGGGTTCTAGGTTCTTTCTGTTCTGAGCAAAGAATTAGTCAAGACAAACACAGCGACAGCAAAGTTTTCCACAGGTAGGAAAAGAAACCAACACTGCAGAGTGAGTTTGGGCCAAGCAAAAGTAGGAAAAGAAGTACATGAGGGCGGCCACCATGCAGGGGTGAACACGTGGAAAAGCTCATGCGGACGTACGCATTGCATCACCAGCCTTCAGGCTGGCTCGGGCCTAGGCTGTCCTGCTGAAAACCTGCCTAAGTCCTCCTGGGAAGCCCGTGCAGGGCTTTGGGAACTGTGCTGGGACCCGAGTCCCGGAACTTTGTGATCCACAAGTCTCACCTACTTCCCCCCACAGCTTGGCCATGCCCTACTCCCCTGTCTCAGGAGCCTGGGTTGGTGGGAAAGGAGAAGCCAGGGGAGAAGGCTAAAAGAAGGCCAAAGACAGCTGGTGCCAGTGGAGATGCCTCTGGTGACAACACTGGGGTGGCCAGGCAGCTGTTCCCCAGGGCGGCCTGCACCTCCGCCCAGCCCTCCCCTGGAACCAGGTCCACAGGGGCTGGAGGCTGCAGCCTTGGGGGCAGCTTCTGCCACAGAGCCCAGGCTGCTGCAGGGAGCTGACAAGTAGACAGGCCTAGAGGACAGCCAGAGATGCTGGACACCCACAAGCCCATCATCCTGGCTCCTTGGAGGCTGAGGCAGGGGGTTGGCAAGTTCAAGGCCAGCCTGGGCAACTTTGAGAGACACTGTCTCAAAATAAACATAAAAAGGGCTGGGGGTGTAGCTCAGTGTGAGGCCCTGGGTCCCATCTCCTCTATGAGAAGAAGAAGTAGACAAACAGAGGAGGAAGAGGAAGAGGAGGAAGAAGAAAAGGACGAGGAGGAGGAGTAGAAGGAAGGAGAGGAGAGGAGGAGTAAGAAGGGGAGAAGGGAGAGAAGGACGTGGGAAGGAGGATAAGGAGGATGAGGAGGAGGAGAAGGAAGGTAACGGCACAGGACAGACAGTCAGGAATGACTTCCGTTGCATTTGATGAGATCGAGCAAAGCCAGAGCTGAGCTCCTCACCCTTTTATTGGACAGCCTTCCAGACCTGGCCCGGCACATCTGCAGGAAATGAAAAAGAAACACATTTTTCCCTTCTATAGTATTTTGTTTGTGGAGATTTTTCATTAAGTCACAAGGCACTGTGTGGTGAATTATTCTCCAGGCACTGGAGCCCAGTGCCTTGCAGCTGGGTGCTGGCTGCTGATCTGGAGCTCACTGTGTGCGCACAACCCTTGTCCAAGTGTCTGCTCCCTGGCGGGCTGTCCTGGCCCGGAGGGAGCCGGCAGTCACAGCACAGAGCTGTCTCAGACCATCCACTCCCATGCGCGGGGTGCAGCAGTCCCACAGCTGGCTCTGGGTGTCGGGCGCACAGGGAGGCGGAGGGAGTCAAGACGAGGAGTGGACGCAGGGCCACATGGATGGAGGCCAGGGTCACCATGCAGCACCCCTGCAGCCCCTGGGGACAACCACCCTGAACAACCACCTGCAGGGGGCCATGGGCTGCTCCCGAGGTGGGGCAGGAGCAGGAGCCCCTAATATTCAGGAGGAAGCCGGGCTGAGCCAACTGGGAACCTGGTAGCCAGGTGCAGGCGTGGCCCGAGGAGAGGGCAGAGGCCGGCCTCACGCATCCCCCTCAGCGTCAGGGGCAGAAGTGGCAGCTGCCAGGCCTCGCTCAGCACTGAGGACACAGCTGAGAGGCAGAGCTGCTTCCCCAGCATCTAGGCCTCTCCCAGCTTGTCCTGAGGCTGCCACAGCCACGGGGCCAGCACACCTGTGGAGACTATGCAGAGACAAAGCTGGGAGCCACTGCCGAGCTGGGGACCCCTGGTGCACGGCTGCGGCTGGGAAGCAGCTGTGCTGTGTGTGCTCTGGCATGGCACTGGGCCCCACTCACCCGTAGGTGCAGTTGGGGTGGCACAGGCGGCACACGTGGCTGCTGTCCGCGTACTTCCACACCAGCGTGTTGTTCTCCCCCATGATCCCGGCTGGGCAGGTCTTGACACAGTGGGGGCCATCGATGTAGTGTGCACACTGGATGCAGCTGTCAGGGCCCTGCACAGATCATAGGGAAGAGATGCTGCACGCGTTCTCCTTTATGAAACGGGGCTAGCTTTTTACTTGAAATATTCGTGTGAGGGAAAAGCTGAATGATACGAAGGTTCCTCAGGCAGGAAAAAAGCTGTTCTAGCAGTGCTCTTGGGTGACACAACCACTGTGAGTAGCAGAGCATAAAGTCTTCCTGGATTTAAATGCATATAATGTACACAGGTGCAAAAGAAACAATTCAGCTGGGTGTGCTGGCACACACCTGCCCCTAGCTCTCTGGGAGGCTGAGGCAGGAGGGTCAAAATCTCAAGCCCAGCCTGGACAATTTAGCAAAGTAGTGAAATCCTGTCTCAAAATAGAGGAAAAAAGGGCTGGGGATGCAGCTCAGTGTGAAGGTTTAGAGTTGAATCCCCAGCATGGGAAAGAAGGAAGGAGGGAAGGAAGGAAGGAAGGAGGGAGGAAGGAAGGAGGGAGGAGGGAGGGAGGGAGGAAGGGAAGGAGGGAGGGAGGGAAGGAGGGAGGGAGGGAAGGAAGGAGGGAGGGAGGGAAGGAATGAAGGAGGGAGGGGGGAGGGAGGGAGGAATCTTTACACTTTGTTGCCTTTACTCGATACTTTGTATGTGGACTTTTCCTTGTCAAAGTCACCTTGCCTGGTGAACATCTTTACATTTGTTTATTTTTGTGGTCCTGGGATGTAACCCAAGGCTTCATTCACTCTCATTGGGTGGGTGCTCTGCCGCTGAATGACACCTGCAGCCTGTTTCTTTTCTTATTTTTGAGGTAGGTTCTTGCTATGTGACCTCGGAACACCTTTCGAAACTCTAGAAGCAAAGCCTTGGGGCTGCTGGGGCTGAGACACGACCCAGAGAAGGTGTCCCTTTGTATGTGCTCTCCGGTCTCAGCTTCGCCCATGCTTGTGGTTTGGATCTAGATGCCTCCAAGCCTGCTGTGACTTCAGGCCGGGCCTCGGGAGGGGAGTGACCAGGGGCCTCACGGCTGACCTGCTGTTGGGAAGGGCCTGGGCGGAGGTCACTGGTAGGTTCAGGGGTGGCGGCTAAGCTGGGATCCAAAGAGCTCCACATATGATGTGGAGAACGAAGGACACAGGCTGCTTGGTGCCAGAGACCTGCCTCAGGCTTGCATTCCTCACACAACGGACTCTGGGCCTGAAGACATGAAGCTGAATTTAAACAAGCTTGGGTAGGGGCTTCCTGAGTCTCCAACTGTTTAAATGGGGGTTAAGCAAGACTTGGATGGTGTTCGGTGGATGTGAGAAGGGAGTGGGACACGCCAGAAATGGGGAACTGGATGACCACAGACGGTGGCCACCACAGGCCAGAGCTGGGTGGGGAGAGCGGCATCAGGGAGCAGGAGGGCTCCCGCCTCTGGTGTGAGATGTCCCAGCTGCAGCTGCTCTGTGCCTGCGGGACACAGCCCTTCCTCTGCCGCCTCAGGGCAGGCTTTGCCCAAGTCTGGCGTGGAGGCACAGGGCTCCTTACCCTGCCGGTGCAGGTCACGTTCATGGCCTGGGGCAGGCACTCGGGGTGGCACTGGATGCACTCAGAATTCTCCACGAACTCCCGGGGCTCCCTGGGGAAGGAGGAGGGAGACTGTCAGGCCGGACCTTCTGGACGAGACTCCCCTCTTCCAGAAACTCAAAACCACTTCAGGCAAAGGACAGAGAGCTGGGACTCTAGGACTGCAGTTCTGCATAATGCACAGTTTTATTGACCGCCTCCCTGCTCAGCCCAAGTAACCAACAGGTAACCTTCCGTAACCCTTTCCTGCCTTTTCTGTGGCATAGTTTCTGTATATTGGGCAAGCAAGACAAAAAGGACAAATAGTCCTGATCAGCTGTCCCCTCCTCTAATAACAGATTCACAATATTGAAGTTAAGGGGAAAGAAGAGGTTACTGGAAACTAAGGATAGGACAGGAAGGAGGAGTAGTAAACTTGTGTGATGGTTATTTTTCAGAACAGTAGGTGTTAAATACAGGTGTGAAACTTTTTCCTTGTAGTATTTTCAGCCTTCATCAAGATGTGTAGACCAAGGTGAATTTCTATTGTAATATTTTCATCTTTCCTAACAATATGTAGATCAACCTGCCTGGGAATTAATTGAAGCCTTCAGGCCAAGCAAGGAACAGGAGTGTTTACACCTGAGACCTGTGCTGTGAGCCTCCCGATAGGCAGGCAAATGCCACCAACAAAGCCGAGTGAGACAGCAGTGTTTTGGGGTCACCGCTAAGGGACCAGGCTGCAGAGGGAGCAGGAGCCACTGGATGCCCGGGTTCGCCATGCTGGCAGAGAGAACCAGGCCTCTGGGTATGCTTATTTTAATGTCCTTGTATCTTAAGAGAACCTTGAAAATTCAAACTGTGGATGTCTATCTGCAGCCGGAGGAGCGCACTGATGTTTCTCCCTTGAAGTCGAGGCAGCATGGGCATGTGCTTGGCTTGGCCCTGCCAAGCACATGACCCTGTGGCTCTGGCGGGACATTCGGGTCCAAGAGCAAGGGAGATCCCCACCGCCTTCCGCCTCCCAAGGCTGCTCTCTGTCAGTTACCTTTCTCTTAAGTATGTTTCAGAACTGCCTCTTCCTCTCCCCGCCCTTCAACCTGACTTCTCCATTAATCGAGTTGTGGAAAACTTCACATCACTGCTGGGATTTTCAGCACCCACCAACCGTGCTCCTATGGATTCTCGCTTTGTCTCTGCTGATGTTCAAAGCGGTCCACACCACTCAGCACTTGGTGCACCCTTAGGCGGCACAGCGAACAGAGCCAACCAGGAGATGGCACTGTGTCACAGGCTGTGAGACACAGATGAGGCCCACGCGGGGAAACAGCAGCTTGCTACGCCCTGGCAACAGGAACCTTGTGCCGGCTAGAAACACGTAAGGTGTTTTCAGGGAAAGAGATGCTATAGACTGTTGGACTGAAGTAAGTAATAGTAAAAAGTGCTTGTTTCCTACGATGATGAACAGTTTGTCCAAGTGCAACGTACTCAAAAACTGAAGCAAAAGCAAGACGGAGGAAAAGACCCATCTGAATGCAGTGAACCTTCAACAGCCCAGCAAATGAGCTGGGCCTGGGCACAGGGCGTGCGGACAGAGGAACAGGCCTCACCCCTCCAGGACGTTGCACGTGGCCACGCACTCTCTGCCCCGGCTCACGTTCCGGCAGGAGACGCAGTCCCAGGGCTGGGGACCCCAGCAGCCCTCAGCTGAGCACAGCGGGTGGCAGATGTGGCCATCAGTGGCTGGAAGACACAGAAGGGCAGGGTCAGGCGCAGCACAGGGCCGGGCCGAAGAGACCACACCCTCTCCAGGCCAGTGTGCCGGGCATCTGGGGACTGGAGAAGCGGGACTGGGGTCACGGCAGGCCCTCCTCCCAGGCCAGGCCCAGCTGCTGCTCTCTGACAAACGCCTGTGGTCACCTGCTGTGCACCAGGCACCATGCCTAGTACCACACTCAGAATTTCACTTAATCGAGCAGAATCATTATCACAGCCTCTTTCCCTGGCACTGGGGATGGAACCCAGGGCCTTGGAACTCAGCTACCTCCTCAGCCTCCTCCTGTCCCCCAGCCCTCTCCCCACACATCTTTTGAGGCTGTGTCTCGGCAAGTTGCCCAAGCTGGGCTCCAATTTGTGATCCTCCTGCCTCGGCCTCCCAGGAGTGCACCACCCTTCGCAGTCTACCAAAGCCATTTCATGGATGAGGAAGCCCAGTCTTAGAAGGTTAAGGACACTGGGCAACTCTGCAAGCCCTCGAGGGACAGGCCAGCACTACACTCAGATCAGCCTGTCCCAGTGGGCAGGGTCTCAGCCCGGTGCGCACAGCTTCCAGGGCTGTCAGGAGGTGCTCAGCTCGGAAGAGAAAGTTAAGGAGAAGGTCGCCCATCCCTGAGCGTGCGGGGCGTGTGCACGCCCACCCTTAGTCACCACAGCTGAAGTGATCAGGGAGCAGCCTACAGACAAGATGTCTCGGAAGATAACCAAACTGAACTTACTTCTTTAAATTACAAATAATGGGTAGCTCAAACCTCAGGCAAAGTCGCCTTATGAAATGAACAAACGCCCTGGAGGTGGTTCCACGAATCCCCTGGTAACCCATAATTAGGACAGTGCAGATTTTAACTGCTTCTTGAGGAACAGAAAGTGTGATTTAAATGTTTAGTCCTTCACTGTTCTGCCTCAGAGTAGACAGCCCGCCAGGCCGTCTGCAGGGGTGCCGGACGCTGGTTACTCACTGCAGGCCTTCTCGCCTCTGTTGTTGATAATCTTGGTTTTCTGACCGGAAGTCCCAAACAGCTTTCTCCAGTTGATGGTGTTGGCATAGCATAGGTGTCGGTTTCCAGAGACAATCACGTCCCCATCACTGATCTCCTTCAGGGAGCGCAGCCCCAGGGACGTCAGGTTCAGGCCAACGACAGCGAGAGAAAACTGGCCACTGAGTGGGAGAGGGAAAGGCCTGAGCAAGATGCACAGCCCAGGACACAGCTGCTGCCCCATGTGGGTGTCCAGCCCAGCTTCCCGCCCACCAGCTCCTGGCCCTGTGGAGGCTGCACTGCACCACAGTGGGGAGGGAGTGCAAACCTGCTCTCTCCACTCAGTGTCTCACCTCTGAGGCAGCTGGGAGGTGGCATAAATCTCCTCCCATCATTATTTTATAACTACATTTTACTTGCTGGAGGTTGAGAACACGTGACCTCTGACACATCCAGTGTACATGCAGGTGTCCAAGGGCTGGCTCGGTCTTCCTATAAGGAAGACCCGGGGTCTGGGGGAGTGGAACTGGAACCAGTGGTGGTCTCAGTTGGGGGACTGGTATCACTGAACTTCTCATTAAGTTCATAGAAAGAGAATGTTCTCATCCGCTCAAACTCCCAATGATACCACAAGTGCTACAGAGCAGTCATCTAAACAGGACCCCTGTTTGCATGACTTCGGGCAGAGAATGAGTCCCTCCCCTTAAGAGCTGGGGCAAAGGGCCTTTCTGGGAGGAGCAGTAGCACCTGTTCAGCATCAGGGCCTTCCGCCAGCACAGGGCATGGAAAGCAGTGCATCTTTGGTGTACTCGGCTTCTGATTTTCTTTCACACTGGACAATATGACCCCGTCCTTTGGGGGCAGGTGTGGGTGACAGTGCCCCATTAGACAGCTTCAAAGGCAGGCTTGACCTAAAGATTTCCCTCTCTCCCTCTCCTCTCTCTCTCTCTCTCTCTGTCAGAACTGGGACCATGGAAATCTTAGGGGAAAAAATCTAGTGTTAACAAATCTGTCCCCTGGCAGGATGCGCAAGGCCTCAGCTGGATGGTGAGATGACGTCACTCCAGGGCCGTGGAACGTGGGGAAGACACAGGAGCCGGTGAGGTGGAGGGTCTGGGAAGGCCTAGGGCCAAGTGCAATGGGCATCCAGAGCTGGACTCTGAGAGGGCACAGCTGCACACATGGAAGACGGCGAGTGCGCACAGCTAGCAGGGCCACGCCTCAGTGCCCGCCTGTGCAGGACCCCAGGACCTGAGGGAGTCCGACAGTCACAAAGGAGCTGGGGATGATGCACCGGGGGTCCTTGCACTGCTCTGCAACCCTTCCAGAAGTCTAATTTCAGGACAGAAAGACTACAAAATATCTGGCCAGCTCGATGCAGTCAACGTACTGTTGCTTTGTCCTGCCGCGGATGATTTCCAGGTTCTCAAAGGCGTGGAGGTCGGTCCTGTTCTCAGGCCAGGCCTGAATCAGCAAGAACCCTGGAAGGCAGAAGAGGGCTCAGACATTGTGTGGGGCTCTGCTCTTTCCTAGGGAACATGGTCTGGGGCGCTCCTGAGACCCTCATGAGGAAGGAGCAGGAAGTCTGCCGGGTTGGGGTCTTTCATCCTTTCATGGAGGAAGTGCACACAGTGCCAGACAGCACGGACCTCCCACAGGCCCACAGGCCCACACTGCCAGACCTCAGCCCTGCCTCATGCCCATCGCCCTGCTGCCCTGGTGCCTTTCATAGACGAGGCTTCCACATGCAGAGGGATCAGTGTGCAGTGAATGCTTTAAATAAAAGCTATAGTAAAAGACATTGTTATGGATCCCCTCAAAATCCTTCCCCTTGCTTCAAACCCACTCCTCCCATCATCCTTCCACTTTCTGGAGCAGCTCTGGAGTTCTCTTTCCTGAGTGTCTTCAGGAGGTGTGGTCAACAGTACAGTGAACGCTGCAGCTGAGTGCCATCTAACGGAAAGCAGGCTCATCAAAACACGATGCTGTCCTCATCCACCTGTCACCGGATCTGGCACCGGGGAACTCCTGGCTCTTCCCCAAAGTCACAGTGACCATGAAAGGGAAGTGTTTGAATCAATTCAGGACATCCAGGCAGCCAGGACAGCGCAGCTAAAGACCCTCAGGAAGGAGGACCCCAGAGCTGCTGCAGAGTGGCAAGAAGGGTAGGAGGGGTATGCTGCCAGAGAGGAGGCGGGTACTGAGAGGAGCTCATGGCAGTGCATCTTCGCTGTCATGAAGTTTTAAGGTTCAAACATGCCCTGTATTTTGGTCATGTGAAAGGCTGTCCCCGTGGACTCCGACCTCATGGAGGCTGTGGGCACAGCTCACACCTGTGATCTCCTTCACTGTCTTCAGGATGTCCAGCTCCTTGGGGTCCAGGGGCGGCGTGCGCGTGAAGGAGTCCCTGCAAGGACAGCAGCGTCACCCCCGCCAGCTGCTGGGCATGGCGCAGGCTGCTGTTCTCTGAGCAAGGCGCTGGGTGCTACTCACCCCCGGAAGGCCACCGGGAGGATGTGCAGGTCGCCGCTTATGGCTGTGCAGTTCCGGAAGTGCTTGATGTTTGTGGCATTTATGGAAAGCGTGTCTTTGAATTCCCCGATCCCTATTCCGTTGCAAACTGTGGAGAGAGGGGCTGGGCTTCACTCACCCGGCTGAGTTGGCTGAGTTAGCAACGATGGAGGCCACAGGCAGCGGGAAGCAGAGAGGGGCTCCTGCCACGAGCACCCTGGCTATCTGCACCCCTTCGATGCGGTCACACAGTCAGTCGGCAGACACTGGGGGGCCCAGCAGGCACCAGGACCCCACAGGCTCCAGGCATGCATAGTGTGAGCAGGCGCTGTCCTTGTGTCCTCACCACAGCCTTCCTGCCCCCACATGCCCTGGTCGCGGCCCGAGCCCCCGACAGCCCTGTCCCTCCCCTCTCTCCTCAGGGCGCTGTGCCCCTGTGTTTCTGGGCTCTTCTCCCGTGGCTATGCCCACAGAACTCCCTGGACCAATGGCTTTCTGATTTCCTGAACTGGAGTCATGGCTTTAGCGTCTTCTAAGAGGAAATGGACAGTGCACGCCCGTGATCCCAGCACTCTGGTGCTGAGGCAGGAAGATCTTAAGTGTTAGCGACTCAGAGACACTGTCCCAAAGCGAACGGGGCTGGTGGTGGGGCTCAGTGTGAAAGCCCTGGGTTTGGTTCCCAGGACCCGGGAAAGACAGTGTCCGCAGGCTTCTAGTCACAGGCCATGCCTTCACCCGGCAGGGCTGCGGGTGCCTGACTGGGCCAGGGGGTCTGGCCCGCCCACAGGTCCCTACCTTTGCGGCAGGGGCCTTCGCACTTCTTGCACTTCCGGACGCCGTCCTCCTCCATCTCGTAGCTGTCGGGGCCGCAGGCCCGGACACAGGAGCCATGGTCTGTCACCACGTAGTTCCCTGCGGGACACGGAGAGCTCTGTCGGGCTGTGCAGCAGGGGAGAGGACAGGAGGCGGGCTGCACCGCGTCAGCAGGACCCCATCACAGCTGCGCGGGAGCACATGTGAGCCTGGGCCCTCCCACCCCACGCAGGCCAGAGGCCGCGCTGGCTCGCAGAGGCGGGTCCCCTCGGCAGGGCAGGACCTGAGTGCCCCTCCGCCCTGCGTCCTCCAGAGCCTGGCACTCTGACGCGGGTGGCAGAGGCTCTCCAGGGTTTAAGGGTCTGTCTATGAACCTTTCTCACGGCCCTTGCCTATCACAGCCGTGACAATGTTTTCTCTATCTTGCCTGCCATTCGGCACACGATGGCCGATTGCTCTATTTGTGGACCTTTTCTCTGTACAGTTAAATTTTCATCTGCAGATCCAGCAGGACAAAAAAACCTCTCAGCGCTGTTCTAGGTTTTCTCACCCTCCCCTCTGGAGTGGGCTTCTAGAGCTGTGACTCATCGCCTTTCCTGTAGGATGGTTCAACCACTCTTCCCTATGGCACCAGGGTGCAGGCACAGACAGGCAGAGCCAAAGTCCAAACACAGAATAGAAGGCACACACAGCCCTTCTGTGAGGCCGCTGAGCCGCACAGCGATGCAGGCAATCGGGCTGGGCCAGGCCCAGTGATGGGGCAGAGCGAGTCCCCAGGCTCTCGATGATGCAGGCCTGGGTCATGGACGGGCGGGTGGTTCCAGGAGGATGCAGTGCGCCACATTTCCTGTGCTCTTTGTCTCCATAAGAAGCACACAGCCCAGCCCCTCTCCTGTGCCCCTCACAGCCAGGACCCTGTGAGTACAATGCCCTGCCTTGATCTCAGGGAGCTTAGGTGGCGGGAGGGCCACAGGCTGTGCATTCTGCTTCCTAACGGGCCATGGATGGTACTGTTGGGGCCCTGGGACCAAGGGCCAGGTTTTGTGCAGTCAGACCCAGCGTGGGGAATGGGTCTGAGTGCATCTCCTCCTGCTGTCCATGCCTGACAGATGAGAGGGCTTCGTGTGGAGACCAAGCAGCCCCCTCAGCAGGGGCAGGCATGCAGGGTCATGGGGACCCCTGACTGCCCAGGGCATGGCTCAGGGCCCCTGTGGAGGACGGAGGTGGCAGGGCTGCCGCTTGAGGACTCACGGGGACACTTCTTCACGCAGGTGGCGCCAAAGCTGTACTTCCCCTCGGGGTTGACATCCATCTGGTACGTGGTGGGGTTGTAGAGCATGAGCGGCGGGCAGGTGTCCTTGCAGGTGGCTTCGTCGCGGAACTTTTGGCAGACCTGTCGGGAGGGACAGCGACATGCTGGTCAGGGGACGAGGACACCAGTGCCCGAGGATGGAGGGGCAGGGCTGCTCGGGGGCAGCAAGCCCAGGAGCTGGGGCTGCAGTCAGGTGGGGAACCCCAGACGTGCTTCCGGGGGAGGAGGAAAGCTTTGCTCCTAGAGGTGCGATTCTCCTAAATTCCAGATGCTGTGATTTATGGGTAAGATTGATTTAAGCACGAGGAAAGAGCTCCCTCCTTCTAGTGGAAGCCAGAGAGCGACCTTACTTTTAAGCTTAACTTACAGTGAGCTCCCTGACAGAGTTTGAGGCCGCACTGCAGAATTTATTGAACTTTGAGGGGGAAGAGCGCTGTAGAGATGGGAAGACCAACAGGGGCGACTTTCTAAGGAGCTGTGTGGTCCTCTCCTTCTGCTGCATGGGAGGAGCAGCCTGGACCAACCCAGTCAAAATCGCTGTGGCCAAGCCCGGCCTCTGGAACTTGGGTCTCTTCTTTTTGTTCTGGGATTGAACCCAGGGCCTTCACACTGAGTTACATCCCAAGGCCTTTTTCAATTTTGAGCCAGGGTTTTGCTAAATTGCCCAGGGTGGGTTTGAACTTGCAATTCTCCTCCTGCCTCAGCCTCCCAGAGTGCTAGGATCACAGGTGTGCCCTGTCCTGCCTTGAAACCACAGCGCATCCTGGCTTTCAGCTGAGGATGGGCCTTCCTTTCTGGAGGCTGAAAGAGCTTTGCCACCCTGTGCTGCCCCTGGGACCTGTTCGGCAGCCCCGGTGGGTGCAGCGCTTCCGGGTGTCCCCGGTTTGTATCTGTGTGGTGCCTGCAGACCACAGAGATGACCAGCTCCTGTTAGCCTCCTGAGCAGTGGGCTGGGAGTGAGCCCGGTGTGGTGGGCCGGGTCTCACCAGGCAGTCACTCTCCCGGGGTCCTGTGCAGCCGGCCGCACACTGGTTATGGCAGCAGTCGCTGGGGGACTTGCCTCGGCAGCGCCCCGAGCACTGCTGGGCACAGATGATCCTGGTCACTGAAACACAGGGAAAAGAGTGGGCACTGTGAGCTGAGTCCAGCAACTGCAGAGGCACCACGCACAGGGTGGGTTTAGTTCCTTTCCAGGCCTCACATTCAGTCAGACTCAACCCAGTCACTGGCTTTGTTGTGACCTTCCTGAAGGTCATGACTTTCCTGATGACCTTCCTGAAGGTCATGACCTTCCTGGTGACTTTCCTCAAGGTCATGACCTTCCTGACAACCTTCCTCAAGGTCATGATCATCCTTCCTCCCTGGATTTTTTCCTATTTTTAACCACTGGGTGGACTGCTCCAATCAAATCCAGACTTTGTGGCTTCCTCAGGAAACAGACCGTGCTGGACTGTGTTCTCTGCAGGGCAGAAAGCAGGCACACAGGAAGGGAGGCCACAGCCACCTCAGGGTCACACCCAGTCAGGGCCACATCGAGGCTGGTGACGTCCTCAGCGCCCTTGGCCACCAAGCCTGTGAGCCAGCAACCATGCTCCGGCAAGCTAACCTCTTCCTAAAGTTTGGTTCACACGAAAATGCTTTCCAGAGAGTGCTGCAGACTTCTGGGCTGATGGGCACCCAGGGTGGAGGGGCAACAGCAGCGTGGTGACCACACAGGCAGCGGAGTGCTGTCCCCAGGACAGCAGCAGCCCTGTGTGCAGTGCAGGGACTGGGCACAGGGGCTCTTGCTTGTGATGTTGGGGGTGCCTGGGCTAGCCTGCCGGGGTCGGCCACTGTGGCATCACCCTGGGCTGTTGACATCTGGCCTGTGGCAGGAAGCTCCCTGCAGTGCGTGCTAAGTCCATGGGGGTGGGAGGGCAGCCATGCAAAAAAGACCGGGGCTCAGCTCCAGGACAGGAGGGTGTCATTTGGTGTCGGGGCAGGGTGGCACAGTGACCCGAACCCTGCTCCCGGGAGGGAAGGTGGCCACAGCTCTGCTCCCAAACTCACATTTCTGGCAGTTTTCCTCTCCTGGGGCCCAGCAGCTCCCGTTGGGACAGCTTGGATCACACTTTTGGCCTGAAAGGTGAACATCACCATCAGCTCACATCTCAGCACACGGCCAAGTGACAAGGGACTGACAGCCCTGGGGCCGCCGTGCTTGTAGAGAAGGAGGCAGGTGCTGGGGCCAGTGGGGGCAGGCAGGGCTGTCTGGTCAGTGCTCATTTGGTTCTGCGAGGGAGGGGATTCGTGTGTGGATGTGGTGACAGCCCTGTAAGGCCACTGAGCTGCAGGCCTAGAGCTGTGTTTGACCACAGTCCATCAACAGAGCCAAGGGGCAGAAGCCAGAGGCTGCGGCTGGTGGTTCTGAAGACTCTCATCTGCTGCACTGGAGGCCTACACACTGTGAGCATGCTCGGCCCGCTGCCATGCAGGGCGAGAAGCAGCAGGGGCGATGCCCTTTCTTCTGAGTGGGGGAAGGGAACAGGCACCAGCAGGGGAGAAGGCCCGGGCCAGGCTGGTCAGTGTGAGCGGCATCTCCAGTTTCCGCAGGCCATGGCATGGGCCAGGACCTGGTCCCCCCCAGCCCTGCTCTCAGGGCCACTCTCCTTGTGATCGGGGCAGCATGAGGTGAGCACACTTAGGGTGACACGGGCCAGCCTCCTCCCGGGGTTGCCCCGTGGTTCTGGGTGGACGTCCACACCCAGCAGCTGGGACAGAGGCTCAGAGGCTCGGGGCACCACCATGGGAGTTGGCACGGGTCAGGACATGGAGAGCTTGGCTGTCCACCCGGCAGCCTGACCCCACCCAGCCTACTCAGGCTGCAGGGACGCCTGCATTGCCTTGGTGACAGGGGTCCTGTGGGAGGCTGCCAAGGCCCCATTTCAGCCGGGCAGGTGACGTGTTTACCACTTGCTTTTGTCTCAGGTTGATGTGACCCAGTGTGCCCTGTCCCTCCCCAGGCAGCTGCAGCCTGAGAGCAGCTAGATGCTCACTTACAGCTGCTCTGGTGGCTCTGCAGGTCCAGTGACATGTTGCTCAGGAATCTGCTATCCATGATGTCCCTCCACTGGATGGTGTCCACGCTGCAGAGCACGGGGTTGTTGCTAAAGCGCACGGTGCCCTGCAGGATCTCTGTGTGGGCAGAGGCACAGTGAGCAAGCTGCCAGCCCCTCTGGAAGCACAGAGAACGCAGACATGCTTCTTTGCACCGTGTCCCCTAGAGAGGCCAGGTGTGAGGCGCGTTCCTCGGCAGCCCTGCAGATGTGGGGGTTAGAGCAGCACTCAGAGTCCTCCTCTGCACTGGGGTCTGAGCAGGAGTGGAATTCGGGATGTCAGCGCAGCAGGGCTGGCCGGTGTGGGGCCCTTGGTCCTGGGCTGACGGGGCCAGGCCGGAGGCCGAGGTGTGGAGGGCAGGTGGGGTGGCGGTCCTTACCAGGCCTGGGGCAGTTTCCCCTGGGGGAGAGTCTGTCTGGGACCCAGTGCCAGCACGTACCAGGCTTTGAGGAGGACCTGGGGACCTGGCAGAGGCAGGGCTGGGAAAGTCCAGGAAGTGACTGCGTGTGCAAAACTCCCCACACAGACAGGCACCGTGGTGCAGGCCTGCAAGTCCCAGCACTGAGAGCCTGAGGCAGGAGGGTCACAAGTTCAAGCCCAGCCTGGGCACCTCAGTGAGAGGGCCCTGGGTTCAGTGTACAGCACCCCACACATGTACACACACAAGCACACACACACACAGTAAATAAAATAAGATGCCTCCCTCTTCACCACCCCTGGTTTCCTCTCATAAGAGCCTCCTTGCTCTCCCTGCTCTCCCAGGGAGGATTCCGTCTTCTCCCAGAAAGCCTTCATCCCTGGTCCCGATTTTCTGAGCACAGCAGCGCTGGGCACCCGTCTCCCATGTGGGCAGGGCGTTTAACGTCCAGCAGACCCTTCCCCCTGGTGGCTTCTCTTCCTGCAGTTTTGATCACCCGTGGCCAATCATGGACAAAATCATTGCTGTGCGATACAGTATTTTGGGAGGCAGCACCGGAGGCCACATTCATGGGACGTCCGCTCAGTGGGCTCTGCTAAAGCTGCTCTGTTACTGTTCGCCACCCCACTGTGCCCAGTTTTTCAGTTATGCCACCTGGGAAGTATGCACGGGGAAGAACACTGTGTGCAGGTCAGACACTGCTGAGGGGTCTGGGACTGCATCGCTGGTGACAGGGGTCACTGCATCCTTGGTCCCTGAGTTCACTCACACCATGTGCACAAGCTCTCTGTGTCCGTCCAGCCAGCTGGCCACTGCTGACCCGGACCTTTGCTGTCTCTCACCCCCGGCCTCGGAGACCCTGGCATCCGGCTGGAGCCCTGCCCCTTGGTCTCATCCACCCTCCTTCGAGGAGCTTCCCCACTGACTGGCACATGGCCAGCGCTCACACAGGCCTCTACCCTGGTGCAGGGCTCCCGCTTCTGAGGGAACCCCACCTCTCCCCTCCCATGAGGCTCACCCTGCAGGCTCCTCAGTGGCAGCTCCCGAAGCCCGGTCCGGTTGGCACTGTTGGTGCCCCCATAATTAGACAGGACGGCAAGGGCGTAGGTGTTTTCGTAGAGCACATTCCCACGCACAATCTGCAGGTTCTCCAGCGGGATCCTCTCTGCCGTGTTGAGAGCAATGAGCACATAGCCAGCCACCTCCTGGATGGTCTGAGGGGACGAAGCACAACAATGCCATTTGTCACTGAGACTCAAGGGTTCCAGGCCTACCGTGGGTCCAGAGGCCCTGGGCCACCTCCCTGCACCCTCGAACATAATCAGGTCAGCAGATGTTGTCACGTGGGTGACACTGGGGGAAAGGGAGGTACCGGTATTGTGACACTTCTCCTTCTGAAGTGCAATGGCAGTGTGCATCATGTGTTGTTTAGGAGCACAGACGAAAAGTAACAGGGAGAGAGGAAGGGAGGGAGGGGGAAAGGGGAGAGGAAGGAAAGAACAGGAGAAAGAGGAGAGAGCTAGGGAAGGAGGAAGAAAGCTAGCCAGAAGAAAGGTAAGGAGATCTGAGCCAGGTTCAACCACCACCAGGCTCTGAAGCTTGCTGTTAGATAGGAATCCTGTGAACTGGCTTAAATTCTTGGTGGCTTGGTCTTGTTCCTCATCAAGAGACAAGTATTTATAGCAAGGTTTTATTCCACAGGGACAGGCTGTGAAACCTGGCTCTCGTGGATCTTGTCATTGCCATTTTTAAGTGCAGTGTGAGCACAGTGCACCTGGAGACACGGAGCCACGCCAGGCTTTTCCTGCTCTGACTTGGCCCTAGCTGGTGAAGAGTCCTCAGAACACTCCCATCTGTACTTTCCTTCAAACTGTAACTACCACAGCAGAAGTCAGCACAACTCAAGTTATATCCTGCCAAAGCCTTCCCTTGCTTCTATCCATCCACTTCCGTTGCATTTGGGTGGCCAGACCCACTGCACTGACCTTCAGGAAGGAAAGGTCGTAATTCCTTTGCACATAGGTGATCTCCAGGTTCCCGAGCACCACCTCACAGTTGTTGAACATGCGCTGGAGGCTCAGAAAGTGGTCCTCAAAGGTGCCCAGCTGGGTGAGCTTGTTACTTGTGCCTTGGCAAACTAGAACCAAAGGAAAAGACATAGCTCATGAAGTGCTGAGTGGCAAAGCTGAAAGAAAACAACATTCACTAACTCCGTGAGTTGGAGTGACTCATAACGTTAATTTCGATCAAAGGACACCTCGAGGCCAAAGTGATAAAAGATTAAGTTTATATTAGGTATAATTCAAAAGAAGGAGAAGATTGTCTCTGATGCATGGGATTGCATTATATTAAAATACACAAGGGGAAAGGGGTAAAAATTCAGGCGGGAATAGGTGAAAAACTCAAGGAACACTATTAAGAAAGTATGAGTTATAGGAGCCCTGATCAATAAAAAATACATATGAGGTATTTAGATTATATAATTACAAGGTTGAGTTAATAACTGTGCAATGAACATTTTGCAACAGTTGGCATGTCACATCATTGTGCGAGGAGTGTTTATGAACATAGCACACATAGGCAGTATTTAATATCTTCTGACCACAAAATAGTTCACCTAAAATCAATGACAAACCATGTAATTGAAAAACCCAGCTTTAGGGAGATTTAACATATTTCTCCAAACACCTGCATCAGAGAACAAGGCAAAGGTCTGATTGTGGAGAGTTAGGGCATTCAAAAGTGTCACGGTGAATCACTCAGCTCCGGGGAAGCCAGCACACCCCGTGTGCCCACCCTGCATCACCTGGGCAGCACAGGGCAGGTGCGGGCGGTGGCCAGTGTCATCTGCCCTGGCACCTTCCCTGCCTGATGCTGCAGGACGCCAGACTTGATCCCAGAAGACACTGATCAGGGGCTGAAGAGCAGCAGTGGACAGGTCCTCCGCCTGCAGTCCACACTTAGCAGCAGAGGAAAGGGTGACGACCAAGTGACAGGTATCCCCCGGCTCACCCGCCACATGTTTGCTAGGCCGACCAAACCAAAGACACTGGGGCCTTCGAAGCAGAGAGCCTGCTAAGGGCCCACACTTTGAATACAAATTGTCACAAGAATGAAGAAAACGGCCCCTGGCTTTGGACTTGAGATGAGACGCGGCTGGTCCCTCCTTCTCCACAGCTGCTCGTGACAAACACAGGAGCCAGGTCACAGAGCACAAAGCGATGCCAAAGTCGGCACTGTGCCAACACTTTCCTCAGTGCGCTTCAAAGGTGTGCGGGATTTTACAGGCTTCCTTTCTCCCCCTCCATGGGAACTGCTCTGAGAACATCATCTGTCTGCTCTTGCACGCAAGGCCAGGGCAATGGGTGCAAGTTCAGACACAGCTAATCAAGGCATTTACATAAGGCGAACCATGAGGCGATCCCCACATCCTCTTTACCTCTGTGGGGATTTCCCTCTCTTCCCTTTAGGGCTCCCATTCCAAGTCAGCGGTACACATGGGAACTGCGGATGTCTGCAGAGACAGAAGGTTCCCTAATCCTTCCCATTGTTGGGAATGCAGGCAGGACTGGGTGGGATGGATCTCACAGTGATGAGGAGCTTAGCGATTTAGCAGGATGCAGGTGCAGCCTGTGACTCCTCACTGTGCGCCTCGGGACAAAGGCTGCTTCCCTAGCTGATGGTGGCCCTCTCCTCTTGCCCTCACTGAGCAGCTGTGGTCCCAGCCTCCGTGAGTCCTCACACTCTGGGTGTCAGGCAGGGGAGCTGACTCCTTGGAACCAGGATCAGAGGAGGTTTCAGCTTTGGCAAGGACAACAGGAGACACTTGCTTTTATTGTGAATGACCCACAGCAGCATCATTCTACAGGTCTCTCTCCACCGAACCAACAATTTTTATCATCAAACCAATGAGTAAGTAAATGTCAGCAAAAAGCTCATTTAAGATTAAAAACTAATTTTAAAGACTGTACTTGTGCTTTTATTCACTTATTAAAAATGCTAACTGAGCATCTAAATTATTCTTTATGAATATGTACAGCCCCACATCGTCTACAATTATGACGAATCACTTTTACATGCAGAAAAATGCTCTTGTATTTGGAAGAGAGTAGAAACACTGCATATTATTGATGGGAATGTTAACTCAGAAAACACTTTGGCAAGCAACTAGACAACTTGTGTAAACAGATAAATGTGCTTAAATTCCATATCATGATGATTCCATTTCAAAAAAATTGTTCTGAGGAAACAGACACAAATAGAGAAAAAGCTGCATGCAGGATGTTGTTCGTTATTCACCTTTTCAATAATGATGAAAACAAAATTGCAAAGAAACCTAAATATCCAGCTGCCCAACAGGTCTGTCCTTGTGGGCAAGGAAGCGGGAGATGCTGAGGTGATAAAGGGACCTTCCCACCTCAGGAGCATCCTGGGCGCATCACACAGTTCATCACTCATGGGAAGTCACCATGCGGCTACAGCTCCTCAGCTCTCCCTACCCACCGGGAGGAGATGACGCAGACCAGCGCCACCCAGGGTGGACAGGAGGACTGGTCACTGTAGGGCGGAGGGCTCAGCTTGGAGGACGAGGACAAGGCCAGGAGGCGTGAGGCACTGGCTTCTTGCCAGCACCTGAAGAAAAAGTGGGTTTGGATTCCCCCATCAAAGCAAAGTAGAATCTTTATATCTCCTGTTATAAACCTACAGGGTGAGAAAACCTAAACGTGAGACCACTGATACAATAAAATTATTTTTAAAATGACTGCAAACTACTCAGGCAATTTTAAGACAGAACTCCCCGAAGCAATGAAGCCAGGAGAAATGAGCTCCACCATGCTGTGACCTTGAATGCCTCTGAGTCGGGTCAGGCATCCTCACACAGGAGGACGCAGAGCACATCACTGGCTGCCAGAGTGCCGAGGTGGCCGAGGACTGGATGAGACCTCTCAACTTTCCTTTATTGAAGTTAGCTGTTGAGAACCTGGCAGTGACGTAACACGCAGCCCGTGAATGCTAGGGGACCTTGGCTGATGCACACAGCCCTGTTAGTGTCTAACGTAGGGTGCTTGGCTGTGCATGAAGCTAATTAACTGTTGGCAATTAAACACAGCTACCATCCCCGTGCAATGATATTTATCAGACAGGAAATATAAAAAGAAAGGAAAAAGAACATCTCATACTTCAAGAATTTCATATAAATATGCATTTAGGACTTGGTATTTAAATAATTTATTCAGTGACCACCTTGGTATATTTTAGGTCGATTCACTGCAAAAGCAGACAATGTTTGTGTTGAGTGCTGTACAGTGCTTGTCGTTTGCTCTCGGGACTCCTGCAAAGCTGGAAACAAATTCCACTGAATCATGGACACCAGGTCCCCGACTCAGGTCTGCAGAGCACTGAGCTTTTGTGCTCAGGTTTTACTAGGGAGATCTACCGTGTGTACTTCAGCGCCTGTCTGTTCGTCTACCCAACTAGCTTTGGGTGCCTTTGAAAGCACAGGCATCAGCAGCTGCACGTGGTGTGTGACAGACTTTGTGTCAGGGTAAGTCCTTGGCGGCTGCAGTTTCAGGACCCTCACAGGCCGGGAGGGGTGAGGGATGGCATTTGATGTGCGTCTCTGTGCCCTAAACTCTTGTCTAGAGGACCTCACCGTCAGCCCGCCTGCTGTCCCCTCTGCATCCGAGGCAGTGCTGTTCTGACTCCTCACTAGGGGTCGTCTCCTGCCTTAGAGCTTCACACAACTGTGAGCACAGTGTTGTGTGTGAGGCCTGCTGCACAGCGTGCCAGTTTTGAGGTTAATCTTGTTTTGCTGCACTGTTTTTGTGAATTATCAAGAGACGTTGTCTGTGTGTTACTCTGGGGCATCTATGGCTGACCTAGGGTCTGTTTATTGTTTTTTCTTCAGAAGCTGGGCATGGTAGCCCACACCTGTAATCCCATGGGAGACTGAGGCAGGAGAATTGCAAGTCTGAGCACAGTCTGGGCAACTTGGCAACTTAGCCAGATCTTGTCTCAAAAAATAATTAAAAATGTTCTGGAGGTGTAGCTCAGGGCAAAAGCCTTTTCAAACACTGGTACTGAAAAAAAAGTGAAAAAGAAAAGCCCTGCGTTTCGTCTTCAGTGAACATAAAGATCAATCGCTTCCTTTAAGTGGAAAGTGTGCTGGTTCTATGGGGCAGGTCCTGTGGCCTTCATGTGCCAGCATGGGGCACACGCCTCTCCTCACCCACAAGCCCGGGCAAATCTGCGTTACTGACTACGTGAAGCCCTAAACAGGTTTCTCCAGAGCTGCCCAGGGCCACTCAGAACTTTGGGAACTGCCCGAGTAAATTCATGTTTATTTTAATTTGTTTTTCTCCCAACTGCACATGAACAGCTTGCTGGAAGATGGGCCCACACATGTTCTCCCTGCCTCCTGCCCATTCCCACAGAGACCTCTGTCTACGGCAGGGCCGCCTCAGCCTCCAGAGGCGGTAAGGCTGCCTCTGTGTAGCATGTGCCCTGCCTGGATGGGCGACATTCTGAACCACAGGAAGGCAGCTCGCCTGGCCGAGGGCTGCAAATGTCTCTGAGGCATCAGCAAGCATCCACCTTCGAGAAGACCGCGCCAGTGATGCAATCTCATTCTGGGACGGACCTGTTTTCAGTAGCTGTGCGCAGTGATGATGAGATGCTGTGCTCTGTACACCCAAATCTCCTGCCTCAGAGACAGGGCCACCAGGGCTCTTCTGCAGCAGTACCACTGCTGTCTACTCCTGCCTTGCTGTCCCCAACCACAGCAGGAAACCATTTCCTTCCACTGTGCTGTAAATCAGTAACCTTACACCACACTCAAAGCCACTTTCTCCAGCCAGTTGAATGGCAGGCAAATCAGAAATGGAGTTGAGGTGCTATTGGGCTATAAAGTTAGGCTAGAAAAGACCACAGGAAGCAACACTCACTGTGTTGGACTCCAACAATAACTCTCCAGAGCGCCTGCTGCAGGCCTGGCGCCTGCTCTGCCTGGGCGGCTGCTTTCTCTGATCCTTCAGTTTACCACAGGGACGTGGGCTGAACAGAGACTCGAGGAGGGAGTGTCTGACTGCACTGGGTACACTCTGGGGTCTTTGCTGTGAGTTCGGATGCTGACCAGGG